GTCAGTTGGTAACATGAAACATTGACAGGGCGGACTAAAATTAGAAATGTCAGTTGGTAAAATGAAACAGGTGTTCGTATCAATGTTGTATTGATGTTTTTGTTGTACTCATTGCTGCACCAGAATGCACATGTCACGACTGTTGCAGCACAATGGTTTGTTTTATTTCAACCGTCCCGCCCACACATGAATTATTTAAAACTAGCACACGATTGTGTAACCATGAGACCAGGCCTGACTCGACATTTTGCTGGTGTGAGCAAAATAGTCTGATAACGGTAGTATTGGATGGAAGAATAACTAAATATTCAGATGGGAAAAAGATGGGTCCCAAATATTTTGATGGCCAAAATTGACCCTTTATATAGAATGCATGACGTAAGAAAAGAACAGTTTAAAATATTTGGGGCTGTAATATTGATGTACTATTTAAACAATTAGAAACGAGCTTATAGTTTTAACACGGGTGAGTATGTGGGAGGGGGGGGGGGGGGGGGAATGAAAGAAAAGGCCCGTTACTTTTGAGTCTTATTCACACAACAAACTGCTAACAGGAAATAAATCACTCGACACAAGAGATTCCGAATTTTTTATTGACTGAATGAACTGACAAACAGCACACTCACAAAAATCTGGCACAAGTTAGTGACCAAATATCTGCTGCTACCAGCCTGAACCTGCCATTTGACTAGTGACCAACTATTAACACTTTAAGTACCCAGTGTAACACTGAGAAGTATTAACACTTTAAGTACCCAGTGTAACACTGAGAAGTATTAACACTTTAAGTACCCAGTGTAACACTGAGAAGTATTAACACTTTAAGTACCCAGTGTAACACTGAGAAGTATTAACACTTTAAGTACCCAGTGTAACACTGAGAACTATTAACACTTTAAGTACCCAGTGTAACACTGAGAACTATTAACACTTTAAGTACCCAGTGGAACACTGAGAACTGTTAACACTTTAAGTACCCAGTGTAACACTGAGAACTATTAACACTTTAAGTACCCAGTGTAAGACTGAGAACTAGTAACACTTTAAGTACCCAGTGTAACACCGAAAGTAAAACCTACATGATAATTGCATTAAATAAATGTGAACTCTACACCAAAGGCAACTATAAATAGTGATTTAAAATGTGGAAGAAAAAAAAAGACTTTTCAAATAATGTTTCATGAGTTTTTCTATTTTGTGATACAGAATCTAAAGATTTAGACAACCTGTAGGCTACTAGAGGTCAATGATTTACACCAGAAACAAACTATTTTTTAATGCAAACAAAAGCATAAAAGCTTTTCTATAGTGTGTAGTGTGTTCAGGATGAAACAGTCTACTGTTGCCAGTTAGGACAGGCTTTTGTTCTCTGAATCAATACAAATTATACAGCAATAAAAGGGTTAATATGCCATTAAGGTTATTTCATCCAGCTGTGGCAGACTTCAAACTTTAGAACACAGGACACAATCTACTGAAGTCTTCCACAGGACTTCATCAATCTTACTGCTGTGGTAGACTTCAAACTTTAGAACACAGGACACAATCTACTAAAGTCTTCCACAAGACTTCATCTATCTTACTGCTGTGCTTACTGGCATGAAATACTCAAACATTTTGACAACATTACTATTAGAGAAATACATTGACTGTCTCTTGTTTTCTAGTATGTCAACAATGATGAAATCAATTTATGAAATGATGAAAGATCTAGAAGATGAAAACTATTTGGTATGTTACCAATAATAAAAACAATGTATTTCAAAATGACTGTAGATACAAAGGACTAATTTTTCTATATCAGAAAAAAAAACATTGCCATTTAGCCCTATAGTATTTTTAAATACTACACAAATCATTGTATATTTTAAGACATAAGAAATATGCTACACAATATTTTTGTTTACATCTTTAAGGCTGTAGGTATTTTTTGTTAACATAGTAGGAAGGCTGTAGATATAAATAGAAAACTTGTATCACTTCTAGTATTGGTGGGAAGTCTTCAGAAAACTTGTTGGTAACCAATGGCAACGTTTAGAGGCTTGACAAAAAATGGTAAAGGGTCATGCTAGGAAGGGGGTATACAGGAAGGTGTAGTCAAATAGTGCAGCTGTCTTTAGCTATACAGCCACCAACACCACTAGGAAGGTGTAGTTAAATAATGCAGCTGTCTTTAGCTATACAGCCACCAACACCACTAGGAAGGTGTAGTTAAATAGTGCAGCTGTCTTTAGCTATACAGCCACCAACACCACTAGGAAGGTGTAGTTAAATAATGCAGCTGTCTTTAGCTATACAGCCACCAACACCACTAGGAAGGTGTAGTTAAATAATGCAGCTGTCTTTAGCTATACAGCCACCAACACCGCTAGGAAGGTGTAGTTAAATAGTGCAGCTGTCTTTAGCTATACAGCCACCAACACCGCTAGGAAGGTGTAGTTAAATAGTGCAGCTGTCTTTAACTATACCACAGTCAAATAATTTCCTGTACTCATCAGATTTCTGACACAATCTTAACCACTAATCGCTGCTAATTTGGGATATTACTAATGGAATGATAATTTTGCAAAAAATAATTGAAGGAAAGATAATCTACAACACACAACCAATATGTCCCCCCCTCCCCTTTCCTGAAAGAAATATCTCAGAATCTCCTGTTACAAAAAAAATGTGTGTGACTATTTACAAATGATGTGGAATGTTTGAACAGACCAACCATAACAGTTCCATAACTAGGCTGATAAAACTTTGACTAAGTCATCATTGGCAGAATGTGTGGAGACCATTACAGAGGCAGTACACAAAATTTCATCCCAAGGCTATTCTACACTGAAGAGCACTTTTTCAAAAGGGTCAAAGTCCTGTTTAGTGGGTTGTAGTATGAAAAATAAAAGCCAATTCTTTGAAGAAAATATACATCAACTTGGGGATATTAACTTTTAAATTTTTGTCTAGTTGCACTTGTTGACTCATTTACACTGAAGATCAAATAGTGACTTGCTTTTTGGTAAATAAAAATGCTCTTCAATGAACCATATAAAAAGTATGTTTGTCTTTTAAAGCCAGGCTTTATCAAAGAGTAATAAATTAACACAAATCTAAAACATAATACTTTAAGTACATAGTTAACACACTGTTAGTCCTATCATAATTAATGAACAATCTTTTATGGTACATATTTTGACCATTCTTGTAACACAAGGAATAAAAATACATTTGGTTTCCAAGACTTGCCTTGGAATTGTAACATTACTTTGAGTGGGTAATTTTTTGGGGCATAAAAAGAAACCAGGCAATAAATAGTTTCAACAATTTGCATTATCCTTCTAGCAAACTAGGGCTCCTTTATAAAACTTTAGATTATGTACATCACACGTAGTATATAACAATACGGCCTTACAGTTTCATGTATAAAACATGCCCTAATGTAGGACACAATCAGACCACAGTAATAATTTAATAATTTAATATGGACACATTTAAAACCACATAAAAAAAATTAAAGCCCAACTGGCAAGTGAATTACTTTTTTCAATGTCCTTAATTAAGCTGCCTGTGTTTTTTTTTAAAAAGGCCATGAATGTACACAGACAGAATGTTTTAACACACATTCTTTTAAAAGTAATGTTTACACAATATAAAAATTATTGCTTGTGTTGATAATTACAATGTGTGTACAACTGTTGTTTTGGTTTCCAAATTGACTTGAAAAGTTAGAAATTTATCTGGCCAACATCCAAATCAGCTCTTTCTTTCCCCTGAAGGTTATATTAAAAAATATAACCTGGTGTGATATTTTTAAACAAAGTATCTGATGTCTCAGGGAGTCATGCAAGGGACTATCAGAAAAAAATGCTTACAATGAAAACCCAACAAGTGGGGAAACTATATCTTCAAACCAATAACACAGTTAAGCAGTTCATTGGGTTCCTTCTATATGTAACACAGCCTGATTTTTAACAACAATGGCTAAATTCCTTGATTACATGGCAAGAGGATCACCAAAGTTTAAATTTAAAAAAAAAAAATAAAAAAAAAAATAGGACAAACAGTTTGCTTATCATTAACACTGTAAATATGCCATTTCATAAAAATCTCCTCACACATTAAATCTTTAAGAAATTATTTAATTTATTGTTAAAATAAACTTAGAATACATGTAATTAAATTGATTGATGAACTCCATTTGCCTTAAAAATGGAATTCAAAACTAACAGATAAAATAATTTACTTACAGAATAAATCACAAATGAGTTTCTTTGTATAGTTCTAGAGAAGAATTACAAAGCACCAACTAGATCATTTTTACCTTACTAGAAGATTTAAGGAGACAACAACTATAGTGGCCCATGATGAAAATGTTTACACAAAGAAAATCTCTTGAATAAATAATATGTAGGCTACAGGGTTCATGGCAGACTTAAATAAACAAACTTTATAGACAGCTTTGTAAAAAAAGGTTGCCAAATTTTTTTAACACAAAATACAAAAAACTTGTTAGCATCAAGTCTTAAACACATAAAAACAACAACCTTGTCTTAGATAATTTTTTAACAGAACCTTAAGCTTAGAAAACAAATTGTGTATAACAACTTTAAGATTTTGCCATTACCAGGCCTTTAAGTAAAATATTTTAAAAATAATTTTTATTAGCTGACTGAACAAACAAATGTTTTACAAATTTAAGCACATCAGTTCAGCCCTTCAGTTTAAGTAAAACAAAAATTGATCATTATAGTATACCAAGATATGATGGTGAAACTAAATAAGTTTATTTGTCTCCCTTTGTAAGGAAGAATCAAAAGCTGTTGAATGGAATGCTAGTGATGGACTTTATAAGATACTTGACAGAAAATTAATTAACCAATCACAGTACAAATAGATAATTTATGAAAGATGTAAGTTACTGAAACCTAGAGGCACCTACAATACAAGCAATACAAAACTCGACTGCCACACAAAGTTTTTCAGGAATAATTGACTTCATGCATGTACAAGAACAAGAATAAAAAAATAAATGATATAAAAAACATGGCAGGATTCAGTACTGTTGTACCAAAACAAATGTAAACTGGCAAAGAGACATCAAAGACTAGACAAAGCAATCCCTGTTAGAGTTCTCTAACCGTAATTGTGCAAACAATTGTGCAAACAATTTTTAATGCCAGCATTGACAGATAAGAAAAAAAACAACACAGCTCTTAGCTATTTTATAACATTCTAGACTATTTTTATGGAATTAAATATTACTGAATGTTAAAACTGTATTCAATATCTCTCCATGTTTTTACTTAATGAAACATAAAAAGATTACAACCTGATACAGTCCTGTGTATTGTGTTACCATATATATATATATTCCTGCTTACTTATCCTATTAATACAATTCAATAACAGTGATGGCTCTTATGAAAATGTTTTCTAAAACCAAATGTAAGAACTAAATAAAAAGGAAGGTTAGAACCAAAATCAACCAAAACTATTAAAATGACAGCAAAACCTTTTTATCTGTAAATTTAATTGTTTTAATTATGTAAAGATTTCAAAATGTCAATCCATTTTCTGAACACCATACACGCAGAAAAAGTATGATAGATGTTAGATGTAAAAAAAAAAACAAATGGGAATAAAAATTGACTTGTAAATTTGCATTTTTACTTTTTTGTAAAAAAAAATTACAATGATGTTCAAAAAAGAATATTTCTGTGTATATAAAATACAAGTTAAATGATGATAATAAATGTGTATACACAATAAAAAAGTAAATTGTCCATAGTAAGAGAAAAAAGATCCTGAACTAATTTTTCTTAATGATCTACAGGGTCATGTTATAGCAAAGTTCATGTTATCTTCAATACAATCTGACCAGCTTTTTAATACAGATTTAATAAGGTCTATTAATTTAAATAGATATCCAGCATATATTTAACAAGATCTTTACTAAAAAATAAACAAAGATGACACAATCTTTGAATGCAGAGCAAACATGACATCTAAGGTCTGAGCTCTAGCTCAAGGCCAACATCAAACGTGGGTCTCTACATCTGGTGAGTTACTGTCGCTGTCCGGCAGCTGGTCAACGTTAGCAAATCTGACCCCTAGCCGGTGGTGGAAATCTGACTCCTCAGCCGCCATTGCTGCAGCATTCATCTCAATGATTGTGCTGAACGAATGCTGGACCAGGTCCTCGTGACCGGCATTACTCCTCAGGGAGCTCCTGTGAGCAGAATCTAGAGAGTAGTCATCATCATATGAAAGTATGGATCCTCTCCGTGCATTGTCTACAGACAGGGTACTGCTTACAATTGAGCTGCGTCTACCGTCATTACTTGCAACAGAGCCCCTCCTGCCTTCATCACTGTAGCTGTGGAAATAGCTCCTGTGGTGGGTTTTGGGTGATTTAGCCAGACACTCGTTGCTTGTGGAGAGAGTGGCGTGGTGCGCTGGGGAGAACTCTGCCTCCGAGGTTGAGTCCGAGTCTGACTTGTCGATGGCTAAAGCTCTGGCTAAGTTGCCGATATGGTCATGGTGGTGGGGGGTGGCACTTGTGGGGAGGGGAGTGGTACCTGTGGGGTGCTGGGTAACCAGGCAGTGGTCTGGGGCGAAGGCAACACGCTGTGGAGGGCTTTGTTGTTTCACACTACTGATAGGCAGCTGGGCTGGTTCTGAGGCCAAAGGCAGGGCCATGTCTAATAGACTTTCCTTGGACTGGGACATGAAATTAGAGCCTGGTACAAATTCTGATGAGCCGGTGGGTGTTGGGTGGACTTGAACACTGCCCAGGAGTGGAACAAACTCCCCTGAGCCTTGCGGAGTGATAGGGCTCTTTGGCTTGTCTAGGACTTTAATGTACGAAGCAATATCAGAGAACGTGATGCGTTCATCAACATCTTTTGACCACGTCAGAGTCTTGCTCGACGATGGAAAATCTTCCGAGACTATTAAATCCATGTCACTTTTACCCGATCTACTGCAGGAGGAGCTAGACATGGTCTGAGAAACACTGCCTAAAATATCGTCCTCATTTAAATTGTGCAAAGTCCCATTGGAACCTTTGGATATGGTGAAGGTGTGATCAACACGCGGACTTGATGACACTGTCTGTTTACCTGGGCTGCCACTGGGACTGTCCCCACCCAGCTGAAATGTTGGTCTGGTCTCCTTCCCCTCCTGTATTGTCTCCAGAGGCTCTGGTGCTTTGTTCAGTTCTACGGCAACTTGTGTAACATCTACTTCCTCTTCCTCTTCATCGTCATCATCCTCCACCTCATCCTCATCTTCCTCTTCAGACTCCTCCACAAACCCTGACACAGCTGATTTCAGAATGGCTGTCTCGTACGTCAACTGCTGTACAATGCTGTCATTCCTGCGCATCTTCCTCTCCCTGATCTTCTGCAGTTCTGTCTTGTGCCCGAACCTGTTAGCACTGCTTGGCTCCTGCAGACTTAAACTCCTGTTGGACAAAGCCTTGCTTGTGTTGAGGGAGGAGCTGTGCTCACTGTAGCTGGCCCCGGAGCTCGAGTGAGTGATTGGTCCGACTTGCTGCATTGTTTGTGACACATCGGAGGTGTCGGCCTTACTGTCGTCGTCACTGCCGCCCTGCGTCTCAGCAGCTATTAAAGACTGGACGGCGCTCCTGAAGAGCTGCCAGTCCCCAAACCTCATGCTGATGACCGGCTGGAGCTCAGACAAGTCACACATGGCCAGGACCAGCCCTGACACGTTGTTCTCTCTGATGCTGTTCTGGTACTCCCCAACACACTTGGGGCTCAGTCCCTTCAGGCGAGACAAGAGGTCACAGACGTCGTCAACAGAACACTTAGATAGCACAACCGGCTTAAAATAATTCTGAAAAATTAGAACAAAAAAATATTAATTGTTTTCAATTTTAGACATACAAATTACTATAAGCACTGATAATTCATTTGTTTCTGTGACCTTGGCGTTTGAAGGGATAATGTGGTCAGAAACAAGTGAACCGTAGACTGTCAGGTCTGAGAGAGAACTTTACCTTTTTTTACTCTGATAATTGCTTGAACGACATATAAACTGTTAGTTAACTAATCTCTATGTATTGTCAGACTTTATTTATTTTAGCCAATTTACTTTTATCAGAATATTTTATCAGAATAATTGATAGTAAAAAAATCATAGCAGCATTTACATATTTACCATATTATAAGATAAAAGAGGCTAAATAACAATAAGTCTAATAAGTAAATACGGTAAAAGAAAACTCACAGTAAAAAAGTCTTTAGGAGTCTTAACATTGTTGCCTTTGTTGGTCTGTTTGTTTAACTCCTGCTGGGTGCTCTGTGTCAACATCATCTGCTGGGCCTGGAGGTAGGACGGCAACAGGTGGGGGTTGTGCATGGCGGCCAGGGGAACAGTGGGCTGGGGGCCGTACATCCCGTACATCAGGGGTGGGTGCTGCAGGCTGGAGGTGAAGCGGGCGGGGGAGGAGAGTAAAGACGGCCGCTCGTGGTTCAGATCTCTGAGGAGGTTAGTGGACATTGAGGGGGGTGGAGGGGGGAAGACACCCCCTAAAGTGGCCAACTCTGCCTGGTGCCTCTCTATGTTATGTTGGGTTTCTGGAATTGTAAATAGATGGGAGATTGATAAGAAATGTACAGATAAGAAATGTAAAGATATGAAATGCTTTGGTAAAATTTATGTCAATAAAATAAAAATAATATTTATTCACATAATAGTATTATAATATATATATTTTTTATAATAATATTTATTCACATAATATTATTATAATATATATATTATTATAATGTTGTTTCACAGAAAATTAAAAATTATTCTAACTTATAAAAAGCAATTTTAATTATTAAACAATATAATAAATATAAACTTCAATAAGTATTTATTATTATCTTATGAATTTTTTCAATGAAGCATATCAGATAAAGTGGTAAAGTATAACAGATTGAATACAAGGAAAATAAAAAAAATAAAACCTCGAATAAGTTTCCTGAGATAAGGATCCAAGTTGATTGTACAAGGGAGGAATTTCTTCAGATCAGCCACATTTAAAAGTGGAAAGTTGCCAGATTTTGAGGTCAAACTGGCCTCCAGTTTTCTCACATTTCTGTCAATCTCTAACAGAGGGTCCTGCTCTTTGGAGGATGGAATGCTAGGGGCAATGCTTAAATGGGAACAGAAAGTAAAAGAAATAACAGTAATAAATATTACTGCATTTAAAATTTAGTTTAAACAGTACCTATAACAAAAATTGATTTTTTTTAAAATATTAGAGATTTTAAAGTAAAAGAAAACAACAAATTTTTAAAATTTAATAATTTCTAATTAAAAACAGTCCATACAATTTAAAAAAATCATTACAATAGAATACAGAATTTTAAACTGCTAAAAATATTGTCATATGGGATGACAAGTTATTACTTACCGTTTATATAGTGAATACAAAGATGAAGAGTTTTCAACCACGTCAGCTTCCTCGAAGTAATAAATAATCCAAGACAGACGGTAGGGCCATTGTTCTATAAGATTGATCCAGGCGGCCAGTCTGTGCCACTTAAAGTCTATGTTGTAAGCCCTCAGTAAACGCGCTGTTGAAGTGATAGAAACTAGATTAGTACAATAACAAATACACCACACCACTTAAAATCTATGTTGTAATTCCTCAGTAAACGTGCTGTTGAAGCGGTAGAAACTAGATCAGTACAATAACAAATACACCACTCACTCAGCCATCACTTAGTAACCAAGTTATACAGAAATCATCCTTCAACATAACAGGTGCTTGTACTGTTTAGCTACAATTTACTTTAAAACTTAAATAACAATGTTCTGGTATATAACAGGTACCAGTCCTGTTTTGTCACAATCTTCTTTTAAAGCACATATAAAATTTTCTTGTTTATATAAATACACTTTTAAATAAAATTCATACAAAGAAGTATATTTTACTGAAAATTATGACCATCCCTCAATGTAAGGAGAAAGTTGAGCAAAATTATTATATCCACCTGAGCTAGATTTATGTAACTTATCTAGAGTGCTTATAAAAACATTTAGTTCACAAATTAATGATTTATGTCTGAGTCATGTATTAGAGGCCTAAAGAGAAACTCATACTAACAAAACAAATATAAAATTAACTGTCCATCTCTCTCATGGGAAATAACATCCAGCCCAATTTAAGGTTAGGCATCACTTCTTTAATATGTTTCAGACAGAAACAAAGGAACCATTTTGTTATTTTGTTAGGATCTAAAACTGGATGAATTCAATGTAATACTTTAACTATCAGTGAAAGCCGAGCTGTTCATTAAACTGATGCGTTTGAGTTAGGGTTGGGTGTACTTCGTTCTAAACCAGATGGAAATTTTAAAATTTATTTGCATGGGACAAACCCCATCTTCAACTTTCCATGCTAAAAGGTTAGGTTTAGGTACACTTGTGTTGTATACCACACAGGAATAAAAAAATGTTTTACCAATGACAACCACTATCATCAACCTTGTCATGTGGTAGAGTTAGATGCACTTAGCTCTAAACTAGCCACAATAAAAAATATTTTAACAATGACAACCACTATCATCAATCTTATCATGTGGTGGAGTTAGATGAGTACTAATTTCTAAACTAGCCACAATTAAAATAATATTTTACCAGTGACAGCCACAATGTTCATCAATCTTCTCATGCTGCGCGGGTTGATGTCACTGAAGTAATCGTTCTTGGCCAGCGTGGTGGTCAAGTCAAATGAACTGGCGTAGATCATGCCAGGGATGGACCCAGACAGGCTGCCACCCACCATGTGACTTGACCCCATGGCACGCGACGCCTTGCGGCCTGACTTGGTGTCACTGCTGACACTTGTGAGGACAGAGTCTTGCTGAGAAACAGAGGATTTAGTTGGGTGATTACAAGACAGCTTCAGGCAAAGGTAGTGTAACATATTAATTCAAAACTGGACTCAAAAAATATCCCAAGTCTATTGTTTTGATGAGCATCACTAAAGTGTCTTGCTGACAAACACTTTCAGTTTCATTAACAATCCATTTCAGATGAAATAGATAACATAAATGTTTCAATTTAAATTCTAATAACACAAATATAAAAGTTTTATAATGACAAGCTTTTAAATGCCCTAAACATAAGAAAATATACATAAATGCTCTAAAGTAATAGAGTAAATAAAGTTGTTTTTTTTTGCTACTGTAACAAAAGGGGACAGCGTGGCCTACTGGTAGAGCACTAGACTGCTAATCTGAAATTCTCAAGATCAAATCAGGCATTAGAACCTCTATGTGTCCACCCAGTTCTGATGTGTACCCAATTCACGTTAAGGAAAATAAAGTTACTGACCAAGAAAGAGATGTAAAATAAACCAAGAACCCAAGCTACTGACAGGGAAAATAAAGTTACTGACCAAGATAGAGATGTAAAATAAACCAACCAAGAATACAAGCTACTGACAAAGATAGAAATGTAAAGTAAAACAAGCAAGAAGAGAAGCTACTGACCCTGGTTGTCCTAGATGGGGATGTTTCTCCACCTTCAAACAGACTGGGGGCTGGCTCCACCTGTTGTATCCTCATGCCCTGGGACTGAAGGTAAAATGGCAGGTGCACCACGTTCCTCAGGTAATCAAAACCATTGACATTGGTGTCTTGAAAGGAGGTGCGCAGATTCTGTTCAATACCTGCACCAAACAAAATTTGCCATTTAACTTGCAGACAAAGTATCACTGTACAGGTTAAGGTATGGATAATGCTTGTAGGTAAAGGTATGGTCTGGAATGTGAGTGTAAGATGGCTGAGTCGGAGTCAAAAGGTCATGTGGCTTATAAAATGTTGATATATAATGCTTTATTGTTTTGAAGGAAATTGACTTCTATATTAGAATTAAGTAGAAGATAATGCTTACATTACAACAAGATAGATTGAAGTGGTGAGGTGAGGAGTTTGAAAAAAAATGTCAACCTTTTATAATGATGTGTGGATCCACAGCCAGGATGGTAATGAAAGGCGAGCCATCATCAGAGAACAGAGATTTGACAGTGTCCAAGACTTGGAGTACCTAGCAAACATTGGACTACATCAGCATGGATGGTGCATTTGTTTAAGTCATTATACAGAAACATTTTACAATTTATGGCAAGAGAGTGCAATTTCCACCCCCAAAGACTTGCATTCAGTACAAGCGATCAAGTCTGCATTTTGATTTCAGGAGTATTGGGTTTACAAAAACTTTAAATACTACACAGATCTTAACAAGTCAAGATCAGTTTTGTCTAAGGTAGATCATGTACAAATATAGAGATTCTATCAATGCATTTGAAACCATAAAATGGGGTCCTGTGACCACCGTCTAAGTAGAAGCAGGGTCTATGGAACAGAGCTGTTTGAGAACCCTTTGATCCAAGCCACTGTGTAATGTTGACCTACCTTGTCCTGCTCACAGCTGTCCAGACCATCAACAATAACCACCATCCTGGTCTGGTCTTCTGTAAAGCTGTCCATGCAGTTGACCATTTTGCTCATTAGATCAACCTGTCATACATACACATTATTCTCTTATCAAATATCTTAAGTTATTCAAGTTCATATAATATTTATGTAATCTATTTGAAACTGTTATTTAGGTTATCACTTCAACATCTGTTTCACTAAACTGTGCATACAGGGGGATAGTGTGCGCAGCACTATGTCAAACCATCTTTGTTTTCCTAATTGTAGTCAGGTACCCATCAGAGCTGGGTGGACTCAAGGATGTCCTACAGACTAAATCTAAACTATTTACATTTAAACTATTATTTTTTTAAATTGTTATAAAATATCTAAATTTAGAGTAAAACAATATCTTTGAAAGCTCAACAAAAACCCAGCTATTCAAGTGGGGTAGTTTCCTTAACTTCCTTTCAATATCTCTATGGATCAAAATGTAAAGTTGGGCCCACCTCTCGCTTCAAGTGCTGCATGAAGCCATCCATCTTCAGCTCATTGATATGTTCAGCTGCTCGAATGGCCAGCTTCTTCTGAGAGAACACCAAGGCCATCAGAGCCTGGCCCCAAGTGTACATGTTGGCCACGATGGCCAATCCAACAATGCTGGCCAAACCGATGAGGAAACCATTCAGCACTGCACTTTTTTCTATGCCATAGGCCACAGCTAGCCCTATTCCAACTTGCACACATATCAATAAAAAGATGACTATGATAAAGTAAGGTATACAGCAGATGGACTTGAAATTACTGGTCCTGGATTCTGAAACAAAATTATTTAAGTTTATTTTAATATTGTAAAAAAAAAAAAACTTTGTAATTCATAATAATGCATATTCATTTGTTTAGCTATTCAAAATGATTAAAAAATATGATAATGATTAAAGACTATTATATTATATTTGTTTTAATATGCTAATTTATTAAGAATTCATGAAGATAGAAAATATATTTATAACTATGTCCTATTTTTATTATTATGCCATGTTAGGGTAATGCTAAGTTTCATTGTTTTAATGTTAATGCTTGGTTTTTTTAATAAAAAAAGAAGAATAGTAACAGGACTATTGTTACCAGAAGGCTCATACAAAAGGAGACTGGAGAAATGCATACCTAACACAAACATTTACATTTAACTGTATTTTAATATGAGTATTAGGACTCACTGTGAATGTGTGGTTTAAAAACTCTGAAAAGTCTGGCAATGAAGATCCCATATTCCTTCTCCACAGCCTCACAGAGGGTGCCTATCATGGCCGCCAGAGACTTCTCACCCCCTACACTTGTCAGTCTAGTGCAGTCAGAGAACAGGAACCTGAAGGCAAAACATATGGACCATAAAATATTGTACTACATGTTAATAAACAAGTTATTTTAATTCAGCACAAATCACAGCACAGGAATCATGTGACAAAAATATGTGTATTACAAACATTTGCACCAAACTGTTTTAACCATGTATACATACGAGAGGGTCAGATTCCTTCTCATAAGGTGCATGAGTGGAGTAAAGTTATTCTGTTTCTATTAAGGACATTGGTATTCAGTATTTGGATAAAATAAATGCATTAAAAAATTTGGCAGAAATTCTGATGTAATAATAACTTAATTGAATGACTTAGTTCTTGCATACTAAAGCCCACCTTAATATACCGTAATAAAGATAAAGCACTGCTAATATACTATCCATAAAAAGAGAACAAGAATACACAACCAAATGACTCACCTCACAGAAAACAGTCCACCAGACTGCCTATCTGCTAGTTTCTTCTGCTTGGGTATACAGAAAAGCATGCGTAGAAAGAGCAGCAGTAGCTTTTGTTTTCTTCCGAGAGCAACACTGATGCGATTGACAGCAGCCAAATCATACTTTTTCATTAAAAATATGATCATCCCTGATGTCAGAAATAAGTGGCTTAAATACATGCTATAAGCAACAGAAAGGGAGGGTTATTTATTAATAATAGTAAATTTTTTAAAAATTTTAATACATTTAATAGCTATTACTAGTGAAGACCATAGTTTACTACTTAAACTTTTATCTGAATTTTCCATGTAGATTAAAGAAGTTCTAGAAACCAGTAGGTTTCTGAAGGCATGGTATATGCAGCTAAAGTATCGCTAGTACTATCCACAGGCTTCTACACTTTCCCTGATGTACTGTGATATGTGTAGTTGTATGCTTGAACACATTACACCACTAACCTGTACATAATTCACATACAGAAAATGAGTCTGTGCTAACCTATAAATCCAAATTCAAATGGCACCAGTCCTAGACCCACTGCTAGACCCAGCTGCCAGCCAAAAGCTAATCCAAAAGTTTCTCCCAGGATGGAGTTGATGACCAGCAGGAGGAAGGCCATCAGCCAAGACCAGGAGAGCTCAGCTTGACTGTTTTGTTGGGTGAATGACGTCATCTCCACTGTATGAGACATCAAGTTTATAGTGAAAATGTTAAGTAAGTGAATGATGTCATCTCCACTATATAAGACATCAAGTTTATAGTGAAAATATTGAGTGAATGACATCTCCACTATATATGACATCAAGTTTTTTGGGAAAATGTTAAGTAAGTAAATGATGTCATCTCCACTATATAATACATCAAGGTTTAGGTGAATATGTTAAGTAAGTGAATTATGTCCTCTCCACTATTTGACATCAAATTTTAGGGAAAATGTTCACGATTTGACAGTAAGAATTAAAAATATTGCAGCATAAAAATAAGTTTCATGTAGATTCTAACAACCATCAACTTTTTTATTAAGGGATTATTTGAGAAAACGGTTATGATATTACTAATATACATAGGTGTGTCATTCAGCACTTCTAATAAAATATTGATTTTGGTGGCTGTCATCTTTTTCTTTTGTATAGATAATTGTAATAACATAGCTCACATACAGAATAATTTCCAGGGCATACAGATGATCCTAAAACAGGCTTAACACAAACGTATTCTAATGGCTATCCATCTTTAGCAAGGTAGATTAAAAAAGTAAAGTTCCCTTTTCAAACCTGATGGTCTATAGGGCAAGTGAAGTAGAGTTCACTTGTTTCTGTGACCTCGGCATATGAAGAGATAGTGTGGTCAGCACTATGCCCAGCCGCCTTTACTTTCCCTAACTTGAGTTAGGTTCCCATCAGAGTTGGGTTGACTCAGGGACGGTCTACTGAATTGAACCCGGATTCGAACTCGAGACTTACAGGTTAGCAGTCCAGCTCTCTACCATTAGACCACTCCGTCCCATAGCAAGATTGGCTTTGCTATAATTCATTCAGACCCCACCACCTTTGACATGAACAACCAAAGGAAACTTCACTATATGAAAAACCTTCTATAGTTGTGTTTTCTTATAGTGTACTGCTTCAAAATGTTTATCTTCATTGCACAACAGTCTCAACAGTAAAGAAAAAAAAATCACAAGTCTCAGCAGTAAAAAAAATAGAACCTAACCTCTAAGTTTATCCAAGAGGAAAGACTTGCCACTCCCCCATTTGGCATAGAGCCCCAGGGTTATAGGGGTGATGAGGCAGGGCTCACTCAAGATATCAGCCAGGGCTGAGCTGTAGATCTCATACCCTAACAAGTTCTCCGCGTCGGTGGCGTTCAGGTTACCTGGTCGTGGAAAATATGGAGGGGTGTTTTTAGGTAGTCTAGGACAAAAATATAGGTGGGTTTAAAGTTACCTATGCACACAACAAAAATAGTTTTTTCAGGTTACCATAAATAATTTTCATCAATTTGACAAAAGTATGTCTTTTATATAATCTAGCGTAAGAAAAATATAATTTTCAAACAAAATTGATTTTAAATCAAGTTACAGATTATAAGAAGTAGCTGTTCAGGAGCTAACTTTAAAATTTTAATTTACTTGAGTCAGATCTAGATTTTATTAATCAAAAATTAATTAAGTGTTAATTATTTGGCCAATTACATTTCCCACTTACAGCACAGATATAAAGGAACAACACTTAACATTCTAATTATTAACACACAAAACTGTGTATACTTAAAAACTAACTAGCAACAACATTTTATCTGGCCATAGCAATGACCATATTTGGACAGTACAGAACCAAAGTTTAACAGCTAAAATCATACTATGCTAAAGATGATAAACACTGGAACATCTGGCTGCTGGTGTTAAACAAGGAGTTGTGTCCACTAAGTTATCCCCGACAGAGCCCCACAACGTACCATGACCATATATCTGTGGCAGAATCCCCCGCTGGTGGTAGGTATCCATGCTGTAGGGGGACTCCCCTGCCTTGTTCATCTTGTACAGCAGGCGGCTGTGTCTGGGGTTCCTCAACAACAGCTCAGTGATTCTCTTGGTGCGTGCTCTGATGGCGATGTGGAGGGCTGTGTCGCCACGCTAGAGTGGGGGAAGTCAAGAGAAACAGGACTTGACTGATGTAAGATATAGGACCAGGACTTTGTGCAGAGAGTAAAGACACACAGGACTTGACAGATACAAGGCATAGGACCAGGACTGTGCAGAGAGTAAAGGGGCACAGGACTTGACAGATACAAGGCATAGGACCAGGACTTTGTGCAGAGAGTAAAGGGGCACAGGACTTGACAGATACAAGGCATAGGACCAGGACTTTGTGCAGAGAGTAAAGGGGCACAGGACTTGAGTTGACAGATAAAAGGCATAGGATCAGGACTTTGTGCAGAGAGTAAAGGGGCACAGTACTTGATAGACACAAGGCATAGGATCAGGACTTTGTGGGAGACAGTCAAGAAAACCTGAGTCTTACTTTACAGGTGTAGCATAAACAGGACAAGAGCCTAATAGGGTTTACAATATAAATAACAAAGTTTAAATGGAAACATTTTCCATAAACAACTATAATACCTATAACAACTAGATTAATTTGTAAAAATAAATCAAAACTAACTTTGTCCGTAGCTGAAACCCTGGCACCTTTTTCCAGCAGCATACGCACAGCTTCCTCATTCCTCATGCGAACTGCTCTCAGCAGAGGCGTGTCATCATCCTAAAATCAATTCATTTTAATTGACAAAAGTTAAAAAATATGAAAGGAATAAATCAGTGAATCAATTTTTCCTTAGTGGTATAAAGATACTGAGTCCACTTCACTTAACAGTTTGATCAAACTTGATATAACAAGTTTTTAAAACTGTTGCCAGGAATTTAAAAAATATGAACAAGATGACTTGCCTGGACTGGAACTATCTCCACCAAAGTGAGTTCCTATCATTATTTAGACTGACCACATGTGATTGCTGCATTTTTCCAAATAATGATCAGCTATCTGCTAGACATAAACGGCTCTGCTAGATGCTACATATAAGCCCACCCATTTGCTACATAAAAGCCCATGTTGATGGTACATTAAAGCCCATTTTGATGGTACATGAATGCCCACTTATATGCTATATAAAAACCAACTCATATGCTACAGAAGAGCCCTTTGTGGTGGTAGATAAAAGCCCATTAATATGCTTCATAAAACCCCACTCATATGCTTCAAAGAAGCCCAGATGGTACACAAAAGATCACTCATATGATACATAAAAACCAACTCATGCTACCATAAAGCCTACACTTTGGTACACTTTGATCATAGATAAAAGCCCAAATTGTTGCACATAAAAGCCCACCCCCATTGTAACTTTATATATGCAACTGGCTTATGATGATAATAACAAAACACCTGCTACATTAAAAGCCAAGCCTGATACTAACTTAAAAGCCCATCTACACAAACCCACTGTGTTGCTATTTTAAAAGCCAAATGAGAAAAGCCCACCCTGATATACCCTATCTATATGCCACATCATTAAAAGCCTACCTAAGTGGAACACTATAATCCCACAGAGAAGCTACATTACAAGCTAAGTGAGAAAAGACTGATATAGCATGTCTAAAAGCCCCATTACAAGCCTACCTACGTGTCACACTATAATCCCTCATAGATGCTACCTTACAAGCCCATCCTGCTACCACTACATTAACAACTCACCCTAGTGCTCAGCTCAGTGTCAGGGTTGCTCTGCAGCAACAACTTGATCATGTCTGTGTATCCTTTCTCTACTGCGCAGTACAGAGCTGTTTTACCATCCTGAAACATGCAGGTAACATGTTCACAGGTTTGAAGGATCAACAGCATCAAGCAGGTGGAAGATTTACAACTAAACTATATGTATTACCTGCCCAGGTACATCAACGTCCACATATTTCTTCAGCAAGGACCTCACGATGTCAATGTGTCCACCTTTGACAGCATGAATTAAGATGGAATCTCCATTCTAGGTAAAATAACAGAACCATGCATTGTCAATCTATCAAGTTAATAATGAATTTTTTAATATATTTTTTTTTATTAAAGACAAGTAATAAATTTAAATCATTCTGTTACGTTAATAATGTAAGTAATGAAAAATAATTAAATTAAATCATTAGAATAAATTTACATGAAAACATATGGAATTTAAAATAGTTCTAGAGATGAATAAAACAAAAATATGTTATTAAAATAAGCGTAACTATAGACTCGGATATTTCACTGGCTCAACCTAGCATCAAATTTTTTTAAATTGAAAATAAATTTTTGCTCACAAAATTGAAACCTTGAATGCATTCATTTTTTTAATTACAAAAAAAAAATAATATAAAAACAACCTACCCTATCTGCCAGATTAACATAGGCACCTTTAGCAAGTAGATCATTCACAATCTCAAAGTGTCCCTCTCTTGCTGCTATAGCCAAAGATGTCAGGCCATCCTAAAGTGGTTGGAAAAATAACATTAAACTTGTGGATGTAATGTAAAATCAACCTTTCCGTCTGTCTGTAATATAACTTCATTATGAATTTTTTAAAATATATACTTAGACCACTGTAGTTCATCTCAAATTTTGAAAATATTCATCAGCATTAAAACATATGTTTTTAAAAACCACAAGCCCAAAGATTTGCTTACTAATGTGATCATCACATCTTCAAGTTCTGCACTTCTTTATTATTTAAAAACTAGATAAAATTTGTTGATAGATAAGTTATTAACTTAGAGCTAACTATGACAATGTTGTATTCTTCTAATATCCACTGACCTAAAGACCAATACCAAGACTTACCTTGTCTGTAGCATTAACATTAGGGTCCTGTTGGAGAATGGAGCGGACAACATCAAAGTAACCTCCCTTTGTGGCCACAAGTAGTGGGGTCCAGGAGTTCTAGGGAACAAAGAATGGAATCATACATACATACATACATCAAGCATACGTAATTACACATACATATATAAATGATTCATAAATATGAACATACATTATACATACATAAACTATACATCAATACATCATACTTAAATAAATCATACATACTTTGTATATTAATCAACGCATAGTTTAATTATGCATACATTAATCATACATACATTCATCATATAAATACTTAAATCACACGTACATAGAAAATATCATAACCATATATAAATCAATAATTTTTTTCAAACATCTTCCTTAAAATTCTAAAAAGCAAGAAATAAACTCTCTAAAAGTTGGTGCACCTACCATTCCTGAAGCCTCAACATTGGCACCTTCAGCAATGAGCACGTCTACAATATCCACATGTCCCTTCCTAGCTGCCCAGATGAGGGGAGTTGTACCATACTACAACAACACCAACAACAAAAGTTTGAGTTCATAGCTACTATTTTATGATACAGAATCAACAATGTATAGTTTTAATTTAAATTAGTGTAAATTCATTAAATATAATTATGACGCTTATTTTAAATTTAATTAAATATAGTGCAAGAGTAGAATACAATTATGAGAAATCTAAGAGGTAAAACTAGAAATCAACAAACTATGTTATGCGGAATTTACATTTTTGAAAATCTATTTAAACTTTAAAAATTGTATTTAGCACTATACTATTTTGACATGAAACAAAGAATAATTGCATTAATTAAAAAAAACAGCAATCAGGCATGTTAGCTTTAGAATGGCTTGTAAAGTGTTTACCTTATCTGGCATGTTGACCTTTGCCCCCTTGTTTATCAACAGTTTAGCTATATCACAATGACCTCTGCCAGCAGCCCAAGCAAGGCAAGTCATGTTATGCTGTCAAAAGAAATATGTGCTTTACAGAACATTCAATCTAAATATGACATTAAAACATTTTACTAGCCATGTTAGAATCAATAAGCATAATCATAATAATGTATAAAAAATTTCTGAATTTATTATATGATTGAATTTCTTTGGTAAGAACATTGTGTGATAAAAATGTTCTTGGTAATTATTATGAATATTATACATGTAGGCCTACTTTGGAATATACATCATCATGTATAACATGAGAACATCCTTTGGTATAAAGATCCTTTGAAATGAAAATCCTTGTGGTAAGAACACCTTTGGTAAGGACACCTTTGGTAAGAAGTATAGTTAGAAGACCAGCAAGATACATGTGAGGAGTTCAGTCCAGTCCTGGCTAGTACTTACATCAGCTTTCATGTTAGGATTAGCCCCACGGTCCAGCAGCTCGCTGACCACATAGGTGTTGCCTTTGTAACACGCCCACATCAGTGCTGTCCAGCCACACTAAGAACAATCATCATTTCATTAAATAGATTTTTTAGATAGGGTCTCCAAACATAACTTCACAAAGAAATTCCATTTTATATTTAAATATAGTGTCTAAATCAAAAGTTTTCTGAATAAACATAAATAATAATTCTGTTCTAATCAATTTTCTAAATAATGTAATTAATAATTTAATATAGTCCTTTAAAAAATACACAGAATAATTCTCTGAAAAATGTAATGAATTTACACAAAAAGTTCAACTAATAATTAGGAATGATGTGGAGATCTAATTTTTTAAAAATCTAATTATTTTATCAGTTTAAAAAAAGGTCACCATGTCAGCATGCTCAATGTCGACATTTCTCTCCAACAGTTCTATCACTATTTCAAGATGTCCCTCCTTGCTGGCACACAACAGAGCATTCCAGTTTTCCTGCAGCAACAAACACATGGGAATTACAAGACTTATACACCACAGTGGAAACTAACTCACAGTTACACAAAAATTTAATAAAACTAATTGTTAAAGTTAAACTAAAATGTTCTACTCACATTATCCACAGCATTTGGATCAACACCAGCTTGTAAGAGCTCTCTTACAATGGTAACTGCCCCTTGTTCACTGGCCACCATTAGAAATGTACCACCATTCTATCAAAGAAGAAATTACAAAGTTATCTTTTGTTACATAGTGATGTAAAGCACCCTTTCATTCAGCACAATTTAATTCCCAGTATCTAGTCTCTAGGACATTCATGATTCTACCCAGCTTTGATGGGTACCTGACTCACATTAGGGAAAATAAAGGCAGCAGGGTATGGAACTAACAAAAATATCCCTGTATATGTGAAAGTCACAACAGTAAAGTCTACTTCATCTACCATATTGACCATCAGTTCCGAAAGGGTAACATTACTTTTACTTTCTATAAAAAATAAATACAATTGATAAAAACATATGAAGGTTGTAGTGAACTGACCTCATCCCTCTCCTCTAAGTTAACATGCCCATTCTCCAGCATGCTATGTACGGCCGTCAAATCCCGACGGGATATGTTATCCCACAAAAGCTGAGCTTTAAAACTGGTCATTTTGCAGGCTTGGTTGGCGCCTCAACACACCAAGGTAAACAAAATCAAGACAAGCCAATAAATAGGTTTTTAATGTTGTCCTCTCATGGTTCTACCTGGAACAAAACAAAAGAATATTTGAACAGTCTGTCGTGGGTATAATGCAATATAACAGAACTGGGCTAGAAAATATCTAGAATGATATTTTACTTCACAACATAGCACACAGCAAAGAAAAATATATATTGAAATGTTTTGAGAAACAATAAAATAATTAAGTTATCAGAAATAGTATTAAGTGTAACTTCAAAAAAGTCCATTATATATATAATTACTACAACACTGCAACTTCTAATAGGCTACACAGATTTTCTTGGAAAATCAATATCTCTTTAATCTATAAGTTTCTATTGAAAATTCACAGCAAAACTATTTAAAACCCATTTTACCATATACTATTTAATCTAAAATAACCACTAAAACAATAAACTAATGATCACTATGCTAATGAGAAATACTATACAACTACTAAAATATAATATCTGTTTTATTTAATTACAGCAGTTTACATTTTAAAACTTAGTAAATGTATATTTCCTAATATTATCATCTGTTAAAACTAAATATAGCATACAATATATACCAACAAAATAATAGATCAGTTTCTCAAGTCAGTAGAACTAAATAAACAAATTAGTAGAACTTTGACAACAGGGAAGTTTGTAGGTACATTTCTCTGTCACACATCTTATTTATTTATACACCAGCCCCAGCTGATCAGCAGGACCAAAATTTGTGTTGTGTTTATGCTAAGAGTGGAAACTTCCTGTGTAAATTAAAACGCAAGGACATCCCTTCCACTGGCCTGTGTATCAAAACAAGAGAATTGCTCCGGCTTAACCTTTGAGATCGCTCCCACTTCAAGATTTATAGCCCCTAGATAAAGTTCTATGTCCTACTTGGCCAAAGCCCATGTTCAATTATTTTCAGATTTGGAACTTGTAAATAAATTATTCTCTCTATAGTAGCTTCTAACAAATTTATATTATAGAACTAGAATCAGTACCAAAAAAAAAAAAATAATAATTGTAAACTAAAAGTGTGAAGTGAAGAAAAAAATGGGAATTCAAAAATGTGAAATAAACAATTATGTAAAAATAAAACAAAATGTGAATATATTCAGATCTAGATCTATATATAAAACATATTAAGATATAAAATGCAAAAAATACAAAGTTAAAAAGTAAACATATAATGGGAATATTGTTAAACAAAGTGTGAAAATACAGTAAAAATCAATGAAATTGTGAAATAATACTATCATAGCATACATAGTGAGAAACCCAAACATTCCCCTCACAGAAACCCAGCCTGTTATAAATCTGTTTATACAATGCGACCTGTATTTCCTGTACAAGGGCCCAATGTATAATAAAGCAATAAAGCACAGAGACCACCAGAACAACAACACTTCTAGCATGTGCAGGGAACTGTAAACAGATGCAGTAGTTAATCCTAGGACACAACAGCTCGAGATTTTTATAGCCAGTAAATATTTCAAATATTTGTGAACATTTTTTTAATTACAAAAAACTTGACGTAGTGTTTCTAACACTAACCTAATTTCAGATGTGCCTACGCAATCGAAAGGGGATAATAACCTCCTAACAAAGGGGAGTGCACTGCAACAAGGAATATTTGATACTTGTATGACGAGTTAGCTAACTTTATTTATAGCTTGGGATTCTTTCAGCCTAATTGAATAGATGTTAATTTTTATCAAGTCAGCTTGATGAATAACCCTCGTGTACATGGCGAGAGAGAAAGGTTGTCATCACGTGATAATCGAACCCATGTCTGTCCCGTCACATTTGGCCTGCTGTGTTGGCTATTGTCCAGTGAACGATCTAGACGGCACGAATACATTTCTCCCCTTAGGCACGCAAGGGGAACTAACTAAGGATAAGTAACAAGTATAATTAGTTCAATACAGTACAGTATGGATCTGCCGGAGGTGAGAAGGGGGGGGGGGGCAGAGTTTCTTCCAGGCATCTCTTGGGGGGGGGGGGGGGCGAAGCAACAGCTTGAGGTTTTGTTACATATTTTTAAAAACATTTTTTTTAACTTCCCCACACATTAAGCAGGAACACGTGAAGCGACATTTACACCCCCCCCCTCACCAATATTAGTCAGGCACACGTTGGCACACAAACCAGCCTACCACTGCTCATGTTTTAATTAATTATGCACGGGAAAGTTCATTAGCAAGAAAACCTAACTTTCAGAAAACACTTCCGCAGATACAGATGTGAGCCTCATCAAGGCCTAGTTACTTCCGATATGGAAAGAATGCAGTTATAATTTAAAACCTAAAAACCCATCACCGCTGATACCAATTATTTAGACAAATGACTGAAAGAACATGACATAATCCAAAAAATGATTTCTAACCATATGAATTCGCGAAAACAAATATAGGAACAATAAAGTGTAAACCTAAATATACACTGACTGTAGCCATATCAATGTCTTAGGTAGACGCAATAACAAGATGGGATAAGAATTCTTTTGTAGATCAGTCAACACATGTACATAAAACGTGCTATTGCTAAACTGAAAGCACTATTAGAATTCATAGGTACGGTGCATCGCCTTACTGTTGTTGTGAGTTAGGAGCCGGGATAACATCGTTTTACTGCTGATGTGAGGCAGGTGCCGGGATACATCTTTTTACTGATGTTGTCAGAAGCCGGGATACATAGATTAGTCTTACTGCTGTTGTGAGTCAGGAGCCGATATACATCGTTTTACAGCAGTTGTCAAAAGCCGGGATACATCGTTTTACTGCTGATGTGAGTCAGGAGCCGGGATACATCGTTTTACAGCAGTTGTCAGAAGCCGGGATACGTCTTACTGCTATGAGTCAGAAGCCGGGATACATCGTTTTACAGCAGTTGTCAGAAGCCGGGATACATCGTTTTACTGCTGATGTGAGTCAGGAGCCGGGATACATCGTTTTACAGCAGTTGTCAGAAGCCGGGATACGTCTTACTGCTATGAGTCAGAAGCCGGGATACATCGTTTTACAGCAGTTGTCAGAAGCCGGGATACATCGTTTAACTGCTGTTGTCAGAAGCCGGGATACATCGTTTAACTGCTGTTGTCAGAAGCCGGGATACATCGTTTAACTGCTGTTGTCAGAAGCCGGGATACATCGTTTTACTGCTGTTGTCAGAAGCCGGGATACATCGTTTTACTGCTGTTGTCAGAAGCCGGGATACATCGTTTTACTGCTGTTGTCAGAAGCCGGGATACAACGTCTTACTGCTGATGTGAGCAGGATAACATCGCCTTACTGCTGATGTGTCTTACTGCTGATGTGAGCGGGATACCACGCCTTACTGCTGATGTGAGCTAACGTTTTTTAGTCGCTTCCTGTTCTCTGACAGGCAGGAAAGATCTGACCGACAAACCGACTGCCGGGGTAACATTTGGCTTTGAACCCGTAACTTGCCAGCGGAATCTATTTTTACACCTGATTGTTTCCCCGCTCCTCTGCTTTTATCCAGGAAAACAAACACACTGGTATTTTTAACATGTGGGGTGACAACAAGGGTACATTTGGAAGTGAGCGGCTATGGTAAAAAAAACTGGGTGGGTCTACGTGGTGTATCTATATTAGCAGAAAATTAAAATGCTGGGCAGTATCTAGACTTGCAGATCACTAGAAAAAGAAACCCTGAGTAATCCTAAATATCGAATATACTAGCCTACACGTAGACACCGTTTTACATCTCTCATAGTACCAGTAGACACCCTATTATAGAATGGGTAGGCCAACGTTTTCCTAGATTAGCCTGACGCCTCAAAATACGTCAATAAAAAAGTGGAAATTGTCCTCATTAACTATAAGATTCATCAACAATCGCTAATGACGTACACTGACAAGTGCAGGCCAAAACAACAACAAAATTAATTAGCTCGTGTCGACACGCCTTAGGAAAAATAACCGATTGGGAATGTTATACGGCCATCCAATGTTAAATAATAACCAGCCGTCCAATACTGGCCGTCTAATTGTGAAAAATAACCGCCAGTCTGATTGGGAATGTTATACGGCCATCCAATGTTAAATAATAACCGGCCATCCAATGTTAAATAATAACCGCCAATCCGATTGGGAATGTTATACGGCCATCCAATGTTAAATAATAACCGGCCATCCAATGTTAAATAATAACCGCCAGTCCTATTGGGAATGTTAAACGGCCATCCAATGTTATATAATAACCGGCCATCCAATGTTAAATAATAACCGCCAGTCCGATTGGGAATGTTATACGGCCATCCAATGTTAAATAATAACCGGCCATCCAATGTTAAATAATAACCGCCAGTCTGATTGTGAATGTACGGCCATCCAATGTTAAATAATAACCGGCCATCCAATGTTAAATAATAACCGCCAGTCCGATTGGGAATGTTATACGGCCATCCAATGTTAAATAATAATCAGCCGTCTAATTCTGAAAAATAAACATCAGTTTAATTTACTTTTTTAAGATTACTGGCCGTCTAATTGTGAAAAATTACCGCCAGTCCAGTGCTGAATATTAAACGTGTGAATGTTAGACTGACAATGTTTACTGGCTTACCTTGATGCCCCCCACCAGAACGAATACAAGATATCGACCGTATGTACAGTGCACACCTACTGACATACATCCACATACACAGTAAACAAAGACATATCATATTACCACGGCAAGCATTTGAATAACCAGTACAATAAAAATAGCTCATTAGACTCACCATGCTTTACACAAGTAACTCCGTGATTACTAAGCTGCTTTACAAAAAAAAAAAAAAAAAAAAAAAAAAAAAAAAAACACGTAAGCTTGAATAATATAATCTACCCATAAACTTTGAGATTATACAGCTATAACCGTTACAAGTTCCAAGTTGTTGACAAGACTACTAGCCCATGTACACGTTACGGGTTCGAATCCAGGCAGCTAGCCGTGATTTGCATAGAACACTCCCACCCCTCCCAAAACCTATCCACATACGGTACACTGGTTTCACCCCGGATACACAAAACTCCAAAGCTGACCTCAATTTAGAAGCGAGGCCACAAATGAGCTCATTTAAAACTTTAAAACAGAGGGAACGTGCTGTTTGTTTACACTAGGTAACCTGGTTGTGAGGAGGGGGGATCGGTAATGTAAGCGGGGTCTAACGGTAACGACGTCTCTTATTTAGCAGCGATATGTACACGTTTACAACTAGAAATGTAACGATCGAGTAAAATACTTACCTCGAGCACAAAGTTGACTACCGCACAAAACTTACACAAGACTGACTGGAATAACTCAGGCTAGAGTTGCTTCCCCCCATCGCCTATTGATCAAAGTTTGCCCGTCAGGGGAGGTAATGAAGCAGAAGGACAGAAAAAATAGTCGCCACTAATAAGGTTGATCTATGGCCGTACCCTTATGACACGGCTTAGATGGTTTGTTGGTCATGTGACGTAACGTGTCTGTCGGTGATGTGACGTAACGTGTCTGTCGGTGCTGTGACGTAACGTGTCTGTCCTAAGACACACATAGGGCCTACACTTCGTCAATATGCCAGTGCTCCTAATACGGTAACGTAATTGCATTATAAATGTTGCTCAATGCCGGTGACCTTGTGACGTAGCTACGCACACAGTACGTTCTATGACGGTGATGATGTGACGTAAATAAACACATTGCCCATTCTATGACGGCGACCCTATGACGCAACTGAACCCACGGCTCCAAACGACGGTGCTCCTGGCGATAATTATAACGCAGTTCTGCCCCTGTTTGCTATACAGCCGTGGTCTGGCATGTTCTTTTATTTAAATCATCAAAACAATGGCCGGGAGAAAGTCGTCGAGATAACTCGTTATTTGACCTTGACCTTGTATATGCTGATGCACGTTTGGCATTCAGCTTAAGCCAGAGGTGCCCCAGATGGAGCCAGATATCAGCTGTAGCCACAACTGGAGCCAGATATCAGCTGTAGCCACAACTGGTACCATCCACAAGCTGGGCTACAGTAAGACTTTCCCGATAGCCACACTAGAGTACAGCGCTAACTGGCATGGTCAGGACCCAAACGACAGCTACACGAGAGATGTCAGTCGTGTCACAGCAGGGACCAAACGCAAGCTGGATCAGTTACAGAGTAGGAGCTAGAGTACATTCTGCTGGACACAACGATGAGCCTCCTCCCCTTAAGGCACGTCAAATTAGTATAACTCTTTACCCCCTCTCTTTAAGACACGTCAAATTAGTATAACTCTTTACCCCCTCCCCTAAGGCACGTCAACTTAGTATAACTCTTTACCCCCTGCCCTAAGGCACGTCAAATTAGTATAACTCTTTACCCCCACCTTAAGGCACGTCAAATTAGTATAACTCTTTACCCCCTGCCCTAAGACACGTCAAATTAGTATAACTCTTTACCCCCTCCCTAAGACACGTCAAGCTGGTATAACTCTTTACCCCCACCTTAAGTCATGTCAAATTAGTATAACTCTTTACCACCTCCCCTAAGACACGTCAAATGAGTGTAAGAACAGATCAGTAGCCTACAAATAACAGGCACGTAAACTCGGTGAGATTACATAACCTTCTCCTAGCCCTCCGTTATCAGAACACTACAGCTATCGCAGGGACAAGTAAATGGTGGAGTGGCCAGGTACGAGGCTAAAACTGTAGGCCTTTTTGTTTTGTATTTCTGTGTCCAGATTCAAACAAAAGGTGGGGGCTGGGGTGTGAATAGAGCTAGTGACGTTACAAAGGTGGGGGCTGGGGTGTGAATAGAGCTAGTGACGTTACAAAGGTGGGGGCTGGGGTGTGAATAGAGCTAGTGACGTTACAAAGGTGGGGGCTGGGGTGTGAATAGAGCTAGTGACGTTACAAAGGTGGGGGCTGGGGTGTGAATAGAGCTAGTGACGTTACAAAGGTGGGGGCTGGGGTGTGAATAGAGCTAGTGACGTTACAAAGGTGGGGGCTGGGGTGTGAATAGAGCTAGTGACGTTACAAAGGTGGGGGCTGGGGTGTGAATAGAGCTAGTGACGTTACATAGGTGGGGGCTGGGGGTGTGAATAGAGCTAGTGACGTTACAGGCAATGTGTCTGGCACGTGAGCATTAGCTACCAGAACAACAGAGATAAGGTCTGTATGTCAGAGACCCAGAACACAAAAACACTGTTGGCTAACAGAGCTATATTATCAGAGGAGACCATCTCAGCTATATAACTCAATCCCCCTACCCACCCCACGAACCAATCAGGGCTTGTTAAAACATTCAATATTTTTACATCATATATTATATACCGCACCGCTGAATAATGTGGGAGGAGAGGTCATGTGACAATACCAATAACCGGATGTATTTAATATTTATGCAAATCAAATAGGCACAAGAGAGTTCTTGCCAACATCCATCAATCACTAGGAACTTGTAGAATACTGAACAAGCTCAACAGTTTGGGGTCTATAATTCATAACTATAGGTTCCATGTTTACAAAGTAAACACTAATGTCATAAAACATTTGAAAATGAGGCTGAAACTGATTCAAATCTTGCATTAATTCTGGAGAGAAAAATGTTAGAATTATGGCCCTTTATTTGCTTCAAAGTTTTAAGCAATTTGATCAAATGCATTGTGTTGGTTTTTAAAAATAAAACTTTTTTTTTACCAGCTTGTTGTGATAGAAAAGAAACAGATCAGACGTTTTATATTTTCTTATGTAATTTTCTAAAATAACAGGAACGTAAGGCAGATCTGGCTTATGTAGATATGTTAAACTATATTGAGTAAAAAGTCTAATGATGCTTGTTTATCTTTCTTTAAACTGTTTTAAGTTATATTTAACAATACATTGATTCTACACTTAGATAGTCTCACAGTCTATCATACCAAATCCTGTGGCAGATTTTCAAATTAAGAAATGAAGTCATGAACACAATTTTTTGTTTTCTATTACAACTCAATTTAAGTTATCAGGATATTTTTAACTGAGATGTTTTATACAAGTGATAGCGGGGTTCACGGAAGTCACATATTTGGGTCAGTTGATAAAATGGCTGATAACCAGTTACATCTAGAGTACTGTTTTATAAAAGGTATACATCACCAGTGTGATGGAGTGGCCTAGCGGTAGAGAGTTGGACTGGTAACAAGAAAGTCTCAAGTTCAAACCCAGGTTCATGTCAGTGGAACATCCCAGCTGTGAGTGGTATCTAAATCACATTTGGGAAAGCAAAGGCTGCTGGGCATAGGGCTGACCACATTTCTTTTCATTTGCGGAGGTCACAGAAACAGGTGAACTCAACTTCACTTGTACTGTCAAGTTTGAAAAGGGAACTTTGCTTATACAACACCAGTATAGTTAACAAAGTAGTTAACTTAAGCAACACAACCCACATGTTTGAAAGTAAAGTTTGGTACCGGTAACCTAAAGTGAATGGACCCACTTTGTAGTGGTGAGACTAGTCTACAAACGCTGGATGAATGTAGGTCTTGATAAAGAAAGTAGCATAGTTTAACAGAAGATTTGGGGCCCTTTGTTGAATATGGCACCCTGGTTGCAGCCTAAAACCCCTCCCAAAAGTATAACTACTTTTTTTTCATGAGCATGAATTGATATGCTAAAACTAGATCTAGGTCAAATAGGGCCCCTGTAGATTGAACTACAATTTTAGTAGTAACAATGTAAAGTAATAAAACAATGATGGAACTTCATGCTTACAATGTAGGAGCGATTTGCATAAATACACATTTCAAAATATTTTACTATTTGTATTTTTGCTAGGAATAGAACTCAGTCAAATATTATATGTGTACAAAAATGTACAACCTTGTCAGAAGGGGTGTAAAACCTTGTCAGAAGGGGTATACATCATTTCAGAGTAAGATTTTAGCATTATTTAGATAACAAAAAGGTTAGGCATTAAAAAATTAGAATCTAATAATTGAAAATCTCAAATGACAACACTGCATTATCTAAAAGTATCATGTTAAGACAAATACATATATTTAAAACAACTGAACAGTATATATTTACCAGTATTTTGCTTACTTCCCTTGATGCCTGATGTTATCACAACTGAAACAGAGAGTTCACAAAACCTTACATTAGTGCTATAAAAACATTGAGCAAAACAAACTAATGAAAGATTTTTATCTTATGTTATCAGCAATTAATTAGAAAATAACATACAAAGTAATTAGATCTGAAATAATTAGGCTGAGTTTTTTTTTTCTGAAAACCTAATATAAAAGTGCATTTGAACTACTAGAAAAAAAACCACCTCATCTATTCAGTCTCAAAACAAAAGTGACTGCACTATAAAATTTAAACATCATAACACCATTCAATCCATGTGGGTAATCTAAGTAATTGCCTTATTGCCTAAACTAGAAGGACCATCAAAGCCTTTTGATATACATTTTTTAATTATGAACTCAGAGAAAATAGCCTATATATATACATATATATATACATATATATATATATATATATATATATATATATATATATATATATATATATATATATATATATATATATATATATATATTTGTAAATATTTAAGTATGTAAAACTATAAGGTGGTATATTCACACAACTATCAAAAATAAAAAATGTTTTGTGTTAATAGAATCATAATCTTCTAATAATGTGTATTGTATAATACCACCAATTTTAAGAAAGCTAATAACTAACCCACAGAATTTTAAAGAGAGTCCTAAATAAATTGATTAACTGAACATAGATAAACTGTCCAAAATTGAAAACAGTAGGGGCCTACTTACTTAAGGAAAGTAGGGCATAATAATGAAATAAAATAAGCTTAATATTCCAAAAAATAATCATAAGTTATATGATAGGCCTAAAATTGCTTATCTGTGTTACTACTACTACTTCAAAAGTACAGACTACTAGATCTAACAATAACACACTACTTAAAATGTAGTAACCAGTTGTTTTAACTAGTTACTAGCCCCATCTTTTGTATTTTGACATCTGTCTATTAGAAATTAGAAGCTTCAATTAGCCTATATTTTCTCTTTCATTTTAATATTAAGTGATGGTTAGACACAAGTTGAAATAAAAGATAGGCCCTGGGGCCTTTAGGTTTTAATTAATTAAATACGTCTAAACTCTAAACACAGACACATCAGTCACACAAACTAAATGAAAAAGGCCCTAAATCAATAGATTAGGCCTATTTATTTTTTATAGGCCTATACACTATACACTATTATAGTAATATAGATCTATTTGAGAGCTCTAGACTCTAATTTTAAATATAAGGCCAACCTGCAGTAAAAAGAATAATGAATAGGTCGCATAGGGCAAAGGGCCTAATGAAATGAATTACTCCACCCTTTGAGTCATCTGGAATCTGGTAATCTGGTAATTTTTCCACAAATAGGTGCAAACAAATATTAGGCCTATTAATAAATTATTATAAACGTAAAGCAAAAGGCAAGTCCTCATCATCGTTCTAGATCTATATTCTATTCTAAGAAAGATGTAGATTCTAGATCTGCAAGATTTAGTTAAATCTAGAAGAGGCTAGGCCTCACTCAAGTAAAGTTTAGTAAACTAATCTAAAAAGTAAAAGTTTAGGGGGAAAATATTAACTCGGCTTCTAAACTAGATTATAATATTAGGCCTTTCTATATTAATTACATTTAAAGGTATAGGGTCGTCTAATGCCTTGTATTTACTAATATAGGTAATAACTCAGGCATGACTACATTTACTTTACTCAATCACCTTACCTTTGGTAAATTTCTGATCGACACCATTTTCTTTCAGCTGATGTTATGTGTCGAGAGTTATTCTTCTTGTATAAAAACAGGTGATTGTTTTTCGGTAAAGCTATTAGGATCAGTGTAAATATTTTGCATTTATTAAAAGGGGACATGCACATTTCCAGGAGTGATAATAATGCAGATTCAAAACAGTTTTAATGTATTAATATTTAGGAATAATTGCGTATTACAATAATATGTGCATCGAGAAAGTTTAAATTTTATCGATCAGGCTATTTGAACCAGAGATAGTATTTTGACCTGGCAATTAATTATCGATACTTGTTTGGTATCGAGCAAATCGCTGAGTAACTTCAGATTGGCTTCTGAGCAGTGTCTCTAACTCGCGTAGGACCAAAACAGACTCTATTTTGAATAAAGTTTCTGAGCCATAAATTAACATTTGAAAATTCATAAACAAAAATGTCTTATAAATGACGTCATACTCGAGAGGAGTGAAGGCGTCGTACTTTTTACAACGACGGAGTCACGCTTGCATTTATCTCATAATCAACTATTGTTACCTTTTCCATCTTCATATTTTGCTTAATTCTGATTTACTGTCACAAATGATTTAAGCTATCTATTTGCATCAAACACATGCCATCACTATAGAGATTTAAATAATGTTTATTTAATAAAGAAAATTATCGTGCACTAGACTTTCAGTTCTCCATTATAATACATGTTTTGAAACCGTACTTACCGTATGTTCTCAATAGTTTCAAAACTATTTATTTTTTAAAATTCTATTTATAGTTTCATTAGTGATCATTTTAATTTTTTTGTGTAAAGAAATAATTATAAAAATTATGCATAATATACTGGCGTGGGAGTGATAGTTGTAGAGAGGTTCAGACATGGCACAGCACAGGTTATAGGAAATGGAACAGTTTTAGAAAATTTTGAAACACGTTATCTCAACTTAAATGTAATAAATGGTCTCTCCCCCGCCCCCCCCCCCTTTTAGAGCCCTTCCCATTTTTAAAATTCAATAAAAAAGAACAAGTATCGATACTTTCTTAGAAACATACAAAACTAGTACGACTATTTAAGTATGGCTGCCAACTCAAGGAAGTGGTAGAATTAGAATAGGTTTATAATACCATTTTCTTTGTTACCTTTTCGTAATTGAACAAACTTGATCATCTATAAAGTCTAATCTAAAAATGGGTAAGATTAATCTTTATTTATTATTTGTATGTTATTTTTATTATTGCTCTGAATAAAAATAAAAATTAAGCCTAGGCCTAACAAAAATAATTTTTAAATCGGCTAGCTAGTGCCAGTAGTGGCTAGATCTAGACATCTAGAGTTTTAGACTCTAGACTAGTTGCTAACTATAAATAACTCACTGACTTAACTGTCAATAACGCTAGATTCTAAAAATCTAGAATCAGTACAAAAGTACAAGTGAGGTAGGCCTTAAAATGTAGAATCTTGATCTTACTATTCTTACTCTTACGTCCTCCTAGTCATCAAGAATCTAGATCTAGTCAATGGACACGAGCGAGAAAACTCTCAAAGGTATTTGAGAGGTGTATAAATTAGTTTAAAAATCAGGCACGGCGTAGTTACAATTAATATGGTTATAAAATCCTGTCTGTCTGGTTTATTTCGGACTTTACTAAAGATTGGGTCTATTTGATGTTTTAAAAAATTTCGGTAACTAATTGAAAATTAAAAAAAAAGCAAAAACAATTTGGTTTACACGTGTAATGGCGACATAAACAATGGCATCCTGCTATTGGATAGGCTGACATAAATTTTATTGTACACATTGTAAGCTAAAAATAGAAAACTAGTTCATGGGGTTTTAAATTTGCATTGTTATTTAAAAACTTGATCTGCAAAGTTTTGTAAACAAATAGTTATCGATCACTAAGTTACTGTACAGCCAATCAATATTTGTCTTACGAAAGTGAAACATCCGGTTATAACTTAGGCTTGATGAAAATAAATAGAAATGTAGCCTTAAACTCAACAAATTATTTTCAAGTTCTCTGGATTTGCAACTTTTATAGCATTTATTCTAAAAATATAAAATTTCTAAATTAATTTTAGGCTTAAGTTTTTATTTTTATTTTTTTTTACGGTCTAAATCTAAAGAGCACGATTTTATTCCATGTCAACAATACTATGGAAGGAATCTCGTCAACTCGCTTGTCTCCATTTTCAGTCATTAGACTTAGAATCTTAAATCTACTTACTTAGTACTTGCTAAGATCTAGAATGTAGGACTTAATTTTTAATTTGAAGTGACTACTCGGAAAAAGATTTTTCACCCCAACGTCTCCATCTAGTCGGCAAAAGATAGTTCTGCGCATGCGCAGTAAACTATGGCCACTGCTAGAATAAGGGATAGGGTAGGAGTTAGGGCTAGGGTTCTGCTGTAAACACACACATGCACAGTATCATCGAAAACATCGCAGCGAAAGCAAGTCGTAGTTTATCTCCATTGCGCATGCGTATCTTTTTCTGGCTAGCATCGGCCTTTTTAATTTAACTTGCCTTATTAAAAGAGCAGACAGATAGGCCTAATTGATTAGGCCTAGGTCTAAATAAAATGAAGACCAGACCTTGCCTCATATGTTCCTATTGACCTATTAACTTATAAGGTTAATTATTATTTATTACTATTAGCCTAACCCTAGAGCATGTTTTAAAATGTATAAAGTTCATACATAATTTAAGTTAAATTATTTATAATAGGCTATTAAAAACTATTAAGACCCAGTTAACTCATGCAATGTTAAAGACATTAAATTATTTAGCCTAGTCCTAGACATATATATAGAATGTAGGCTAGGCCCTAGCCCTAAGCCCTTTTGAAATGATCAAATGGTAAGTAAGAGAGATTAATAAAACACCCACATTTTAGCAGATTGATTATTGATACAAAAAAGCCATACTCAGTTATTCTGATTTTTTTCAGCTGGATTTTTTGAATGCATAGGACGGACACCATTTGCATCTTTACTAGCAGCCTTAATGGTCATCATAGGAACTAGTGTTTTTTGTGGGACTTCATTCAAAGCCTTGCAAATTATGCTTATTGGTGTTTTTCAAAATTTGTTTGGATTCTCTATAAACTGGTAAATATGTACCATTAGAAGTTAACTTTAAAAATAGATTCCAATATACCATTATTTTTCTTCTGTTCTATTATTGGTTTGATTTGACTTTATTAAAATGATTGCATAACAACTTACTTTAATGTAATGTATAATTTCTTTTAAAAAAATTATATTTCAGGTTGGAAATACTACAAGTAATGTTTGTTGTCATAGGTGTAGTGATGGGCATTTTTGCTATAATTCTACTTATCTTTGGCTTTTTGGCTACTGGAGCTACTAGAAGCAATATCTACTCTGGTGCCAAATGCATTATGGGAGGAAGAATAGCTGGTGGATTTGTAAGTTTGTACTTTGAAATGTCATATGAAAACCTTAGTTATAAGTTTGAATAAATGTAAAGTTCTAAAATAAGTCTATCTATATATATAATTCTCTTCTTGGATACCCTAGAAAACACCAAGCTGTAAGCGCACCTAGCAGCCCCCTCTTTTCCTCTCTAAGCATATCCCTACCACCCCCACATGGTCTGGTGAGCTGTGGTTCAGGCTAAATGTTTACAATCGTAGAGCCGGGTTTAGTGACAGCTATTAGGGGGAGATAATTTAGTTTGAAACGATTTTAAACTTAGGGGAGGTAACTAAGAGGCGGCTGCTTTCACGGGGGGGGGGGGGGTAGGGTGAGGGTCGGCTCGTATCATTAATTTATTTTATTAAAAGAATAGTAAATAAAGATGAGTTAATTATAGGTCATTACATTTCTAATAATAATAAATTTAATACTTTAAAATTATATTTTACATTTGCCAATTTTTACATACATCTTTGTTTGTTTTATTTAGTTATTTGATAAGGAAATCACCAATAGAAAAGTTTTTCATCTTTTCTTTAGTTACCTATTATCCCACTTTAGCTACTGTTTTCATTCCAAAGATAATTTTATGCACCCCAACCACAGCCTGTTTAACACTTGTTTTTCTAGTTTCTTGATTTTTTAAAAAAAGATGTGTATGCAGTATTACATTTTTAAAACACAATCTGTAACGTGAATTGTTTTACCTAGAATAATGTAAGTTATTTTTAACATTTGACATTTTCAGTTTATGATAATCTCCTACATCTTGACACTTGGATGGCTTGCTGTTTTGTCAGTAGGCATGGTAACACTTGTTGTTTACGCTGCCATGAACTCAATTTGTAATCGGGAGATCTACAGTAAGACAGCTGATGAACTGACTCAATCCAAATATTGCTTCAACTTGACCAGATTTGGTTAGTGAACTTTTTTGTAATATTTAGGCACTAGATTATATCAAAGTTCTTAAAATTTAAAATTGTGCTGTAATCTTTCTTGATATTTTTATCTTAATATCACTTATATTTAGAGTAAGCCATATTCAAAATATAAAAAAAAGTTCCTCTTTTGATACTTTGTTACATAAGCTTAAAACATCACTTAAAACATTACTAATTTGTAAAGCTATTGCAAAATGCACTTTGTTACTTTTTAACCATGTACCTGAAATTGATTTATTTTCTCCCTAAAGTAAAACTGAATTTTGAAAGTTGTGAACTCTGTAATATTTTTTGTTACTTCATTCTTGTAAAATAAACCAACTTTAAGAAATGTTTTCTTTTACAAACTGCATTTGAAATCACAGGACACATTTTAGTTTGATGTAATTAAAGTTATTGAAGTCTCTCATGAACAGTCCACTTTTAACAGATCTCTTTATTAAATAAATACACATTTTTTGTCTGTCTTTTCTAGGAGTTTACAGGGAAGAGAAGAACACTGACCACATTTGTGAACATGCAAATCTGAGAGCTTTATGTAACAAGGTGAGAACTAGTCTTATGTTTTTGGTCATTGATATATTTGGTTTGATGACTTGGCCATAACTTGTCTATGTGAAGACTAGCATTGATTCAGTTTTACATACATTTGTTTACAGGTGGAAGAGGCAGGTCCATTGTTCTGTGTGGCATTTGGAGCAATAGTTCTGGTTGTGGTTGGAATGGTAGGACAGATTTTCTTGTTCTCATTTTTAAATATTTAGGCTGAGGGATTTATTTATATAAATTGTAGTAGGAGATTTTGGGTAATATTAAAGACATAAGAAACATTTTTTAGGCAAACATTTTACCAGCTATTTAGCTTTATTAAAGTTTATTATAAATGTTATCATTGAACTCTACACCTGTCAAGTAAACTTTGTTATTCTTATTAATTTTGGAAACTTCATTTATTTTACATGGTCGTCAATACAAATAACTCAGTTTACCCACCCCTTATTTATCAATATGTCAGTGTTGTTCAATAACTGCATTCAAGGGTACTATTTCATATTTCAGATTCACTTTTTGATAACTTTAGCAGCCAATTACACACGAATAAAAATCTCAAAAGAGCTGACAGAATACAGAGATGCCGTAGAAATGGAAGAACTGGAACTTCATTCTACAGACAAAAAAACTCCACCTTTTAGGGATGGCACTGATATATAACACAGATCCATTTTTATAAATTACTCCCTTGTATTATACATTCCCCTTTGTATGAATGAAATTTGATGGCAATCTTTGTTTATAGGTTGTCTGGGTTTGCCTTGAAATGTGTCTAATTTAAATTCAGTTCCTTGATCACATATCCAATAATAAGAAAAAGGAAAGTAGTGTCTGGTACAATTATGGCTAATTGTTTACAGCACTTGTTGATTTTAAAGTAGCAATCTTACTGTAGAGTGATTTTACTATGATTTTAAAGTAAACAATACATTTTTTTTACCTTAACATAAATAGTTAACCCTTTTCAGTCCTATGTGGCGCCTGCTTTGCCAGAGAATCTTTTAGTGTGGTAGTCCAGTGCACCTATGGTCGCCCAAATCATATGTAGTACATTTATTTACATTTAGTAACCAAAGTTTAGTTGGTATGAGATTTTGAAGAGACAGGCAGAGTCACGAAATATCACTAGCTGTTTATTTTCTACAATTCTGAAGAATTTTAGTGTATAATGCTTGTAATTATTACAAGCTTTTATTTAACTCACTTCCTCTGTCTGTCGTCAGTCTGTCTAGACGGAAACGCAGGAGTGAAAATTCGGACAGTTCTACTTGACCGATACGATTCACAGTTGGCACGTGGGTCAAGACATGAAGACAATGCAATCTGAAACTAAATTTGACTTAATTGGATGCCTAATTAATTTTTTATGAATTAATAAAAATTTGGACCGAATTAGTAGGCATGTCTAGCCAACCACACCACACGCGTCATCACCTTCAATAGCTGCGCCATCACGTAATGGCTGCGTTCAAAAACCATTGCGCGCCTACTGAACGTGATGTTCAGTAGGCGCGCAATGGTTTTTAGTCATGTAACTCTATTGTAAATAAAACATGTAAAGTACTGAAAAAAAAATTCATAAAAAACGTTTTAATAACAAGCTTTTATGTAATGATGCACTAAAAAGTAGAAAATAAATTATAGACTACTATTTAAATAACTATAAAGAAAAGCGTGGGTGTCTTCCTTAACATTAGTAAAGGTATCCAATAGATACTAAAGTGACCCACGCTTTTCTTTATAGTTATTTAAATAGTAGTCTATAATTTATTTTCTACTTTTTAGTGCATCATTACATAAAAGCTTGTTATTAAAACGTTTTTTATGAATTTTTTATATAATTTTTTTTTAAAAAGTGCAGTGGTTGAAAAATGTACCTTTTTGTCTGGCCTTATGGTAGGTAAAACAGATTTGATGCCTTGGACTGTGAAGGGTTAATACTTATGTTTATTAGCTAGGCTTTCTTTTTTTTTTTTTTTTTTGTAGACTAATAACTTTTACCTTAATTTCACATACAAATACCATGTTTAGAAAAATGTAATTACCTTGCCAGTGTTTGATTTACCCAAAAGAAATCTCAGTTGTATTTTTACTTTGCAAGTTTATCACCCATTGTATACTTAAAAAATGTTGTGCTATGTTTGTTTGTTGCAAGTTTCAGCTAGGTATAAGTTTGTATCTGCTCAGGCTCTCTTAACTTGAAGTTCAGTAACCCTAAGGTGCTGATAGTTAGAACTTAAAAGAGTAATATATAATTACTACATACTGGTTGTGTTTTTCAACTATATTTTTGTTAGACAGTGTTGTTTAACTTTTCACCATATTTTTTAAAGAATATTTTTTATATCTATCCTAATAACAATTTTGCTCCCTCTAATACCAATGCATGGATTTTGTGCAATAATTATAATTACAAAATCAATAGAATTTCACCTTTCATCAACATTACAAAGGTATAATGTTACTTTATGCTAAATGTAAATAATGCTACATAAATTTTTACTACAGTAAAGGAGTTTTACTTTCAAAGCCTTTATCTTATATCTATATATATAATTCTCTTCTTCGAGCCGTTAGAAAACAAGCTGCAAACGCTCTCCCTACCTCCCCACCCCTACATGGTTTTAGTGAGCTGTGTTCACTCTAAATGTTTACAAGCAGAGCCAACGATTTTAAACGTAGGGGGGGGGGGGGGGGGAAGGAAGGGGGGGGGGGTTATGGTCCTTAACGAGCTACTTATAGTGTTTTAAAGAAATATTTTCAGTATCAGCGTTGGTACTGTCGAATTCACAAATTATGAATTATTGAAAATTAGAAACAACTAAATAGCGGCGTATGTTATGCCGCGGGCCGGCTCGTTGTTATAGAAAGCCTTAAGTATCTTAAAGATTTTTACATCAGTTTAATGCTTTTGATAGGTTTGCTATTATTAGCCTGTACATATCTGTTTATTTTAATCTCAAAGTATGTACATCATCATTTAAGAATAACTCTTTAGTGATAAAAGTGATAATGTTTGCTACATTCATCTAAACATTCCATTATGTGCCTAAATTAAGAAATTACAATTAATTCTTTCTAAAACTATAAAAAAAATTGAGTTTGTTTCTAGTTAATGGTTGTGCAGCAATATTTTGCATCAAGATTTTAAGAGTTCAGATATAAGTACTATTTATTCAAAACTTCTTTTGGCAAAACATCCCTCAAAATATAATTGTCTTTTAAAAGTTAACAGATGCATCTGCCAAACTTAACCAGCCTTTTTATTTTTATTGTGTGTATTGTGTATCTTTGGTTAAATGCACAAGCTGATTAAGAATTGTGCATACTTCGTGACAATGTTGTTGTTTTTTTATTGTGGGATTTTTTCCTGAATTAACATTCCAATGTAAAGAAATTTAGTTTAAAGTCAATTGAACCAAAACATTCCATATCTAACCTAATGCAAAGAATGCTTTTCCCCCCATAATTAAAAGGAGGCTTTTTCCATTTTCTATATTTGTAGATAAACGGAAAACAAAAAATTATGGACATGTACAGTTCCTTACAAATCATATAGTACCTTTTATAGTATAGTACACACAAATGTAAACAAAAATTGACTTTCCTGTGGTTGTGAATATTTACTTGTAAAATGTGTAATTTTTATGGAAAGATTCCTTTATTGTTTTATCTTTTTGTCTTTACTTTTACAACTTGTCTTAATATTACATTCCAATAATTAAATAAACATAATCAGTTATTTACACACATTCCTTTAAGCTTTTGCACTTTTCCACAAATCTTATTTCTCTAATTACCTGTATATAGTCTATTTCATATATTGGCATAAACATTTTTCGTCTTATGAAATACATGTGAAGTTTTTTTTAAACTTATTTTATGTCACTCAATTTAATAACAAATTGTGCTTAAGTAAATCAACACAAAAATTCAGTTAAATCTTAAAAGTATTCATTCTAAAGTTAATTTTATATTATAATATTTGACCTCTACATTATTTTAGACTTCAGTAGATATACAATATTTTATACAGCAGTTACTGGTCAATACATAATAATAATTACTGAATGACCATCCCAATACATTTATATGATTTGTACTAGCACTTAATAAATTTTAGATGTATTTTATGTATTCAATTTTGTGTGTCAGTCAACCAGCCTATGTAATTCTACATTTTAAATGTGAATTTGTATTCAGTTTTTGTTAAACCTTTATGAAAGATGACATTAAGTGAAACCACTTAATTCTTTACTATTCATCTTTCATTTTGCTCAAACGTGTCCATTCCATTGTCTAGCTTGCTATTTATTTACACTTTCAATAAAGGCAAGTTCATCTTTTTTTTCATAAGGACCTTTTACTTTCATTTTTACATTAAATGTTATTGTATTAATAACTGTATGTATATAATGTGACTGATTTTTATAGCAAGTTTTTACCCATCAAGGGGAAATAAAACTTTTATAAGCAATTTGTCTTAGTTGGTTTAAAATTTTTTTTTTAATGATTAACTGCATTTACATACACAAACCAGAACATTCTCATTAGAGGTCATCCATTTATGACGTCCACGGGGGGGGGGGGTGTCTTAAATCCCAAATTTAAATGCTGTTAATAAATTGTTGTTTGAATTTGTTTATTTTAAAACGGCCAAAATGAAAAAAGGCCTCCATGCCTACTATTGTTACCATAATTGAATAAATTGAATTGAATTTTTGTGGACGTCATAAATGGATGACCCCTTGTTAAGATATTATTCCTTATCAGGCTTGATTGTAGAAAATCTTGGGTGTAAGCTCATATCATATCTAACAGATTATTTGTTATTTCTCTGAATCATCTGAATATAGTCTTTTTTCATAATACCTTCCTAGGTGTATGTCTTATCAACTATCTCTTGTCATTTGGAAGTTAGGAACTTCCACATTAAAATATTGAGCAAGCTGTACACATGTATTATGGTCAACATGAACAGAATAGAGGCAACAAAATATGTTAACATTTCTGTATCATCTAGTCTCTTCACCAAGTTTTATCCCTTTTTTTTTAAATTAATGTCTTTGAAAATTAAAATATGAGATGTTTCAACAATCAAGCTTTACAAAGGGATCAGCAATATGCAAAGAATAATCTAGATCTACTATTGAGATAAAAACAATCAGCATAGGAGAATACACTCAAGAGGCGTTTGACATAGAAGATTTAAACCCTTCTCTCCATCCCCACCATAATTTTCTCATTCATCATTATAATGTACAAGAAAAGCCATTTAAAGTATGTTCTGTAAACTGTAATTATACACAAGTACTTATACTTGTGCAGATTTGTAAACATTAGTTACTGTAAACTGTTGTTTTTTTGAAAACTGATATATAATAAAGGCTTGTGATTAATGGTTTTAATATTATTCAACATAAAGAAACAGAAATAAAAACAACCTGCAGAAAATGTGCAACAATTAGTAAACTTAACTAAAAATGGCTAGAACAATGTTACAATGGTTAGCAACAGTGAAAGGTAAATATACTAAAAATTATTTGCAATAAAAATAATTAGCAGCAATGACTCTAGCTAAAAGTGAAAATTGTAGTAATGACTTGAACAATAATTTTTTAAAAACAAAAAATAATAAGCAAAACATTATGACTCATACTAACGTTTTTGAAGTTGTGTGAGAAAGTGTATTATATAATTTATTCAGCTTCCTCTCCCCCCCCCCCCCCCCAAGCCTTTGTATAAGCCTTTTTGCATAGATTTGTTTTAACACAGTCCACCTAGAAATGTGTGCATCTGTACAAGATTTCTTAGGAAAATGTTCTAGATCAGCTGACATACAAGGGACCTGTAATATTACTTCCTGCTAGTACTGAAATATTAAAGAAGCAAAGTCGTATTCTACGGTACACATGTGAAGGGATGGGGCGGGGGTGTCCGTTAAAAAATCGACTTTTGTGGACGCGCGTGGTTTGGGGGGGGGGGGGGGTCGGGTCAATGTGGACATCCACATGTTGAATTTAACATCAAAATACTAACAGCTAAAATTTAAAAAACAAAATACATACAAAATGTATGAATTAAATCGGCAGCTCTCGTGTTAAAAAAAAAGTTCATTTGGTGAATATTAGAGATAAACTGTATACCGCCCAACTAAAAACAAAAGCTGCACATTTTTACAAGCACGAGGGTGGTGTGAGTATTTCACGGTATTTCAAGTTTATCTTTAAACATTTCAAATAATTGAAACATAAGTTTCAAAACAAGCGCTTAACATAAAGGGACTAATTTATAAGTCGTTTAAAATATACTTATTTTTTTAACAGTTGAAAGTTGACGAGTGTGGAGGGGGAGGACATGGTGCTCCCCGCCTCCCCCCCCCCCCCCCCCCCCCCCCAGAGGCGTAGCGACCCTTCCCGGCGCCCGGGGACAAACTTTCGATTTGCACCCCCTCAAACGTTCGATTTGTTTTTTCAACCCATTTTGGCGCCCCCTAAGGTCGGCCATATGTCCCCGTCCGGCAGAGGCGTAGCTAGGGGGGGGGCGGGGGGGGCGCCGCCCCGGGCGCCGACCCTATGGGGGCGCCAAAAGGGGTGGGAAAATTTTTTTAAAGCTGATTTTATGCTGCAGTTTTGAATTATAAACTGTCTAAGTTAAGAAATATAATGGCTACACGCATTTACATACTGATTTAACTGTTTTCTATCTTGATTTCTTAATGTAAAACATATACTCTTAAGAAACAGTGACCGGCAAAACCGCTTTGAAGCTTTTCCTAGGTGGGGGGGGGGGGGGCGCTTTTTCGAGACTTAAAACGGAAGAATTTACACTAGATTGTTGAGTCGATAAACGTTACCACTATTAAAAGAAACCAATTGTATTAAAACGTATTGTACGATTGTTGAACTGTAAAATACGTTAGTGACTTTTATCAAGATGGTGCAGGGGGGCGCTTTTAGGCTAAATAAAATAGCAAAATTACACAGGATTCTGAGTAAACAACCTTTAGCTCTCAGAAAGAAACGAATTGTACTGTGCATTGTATAATTGTGTAACATTTTTAAAAAAAAAGTTAGTTACGTTAAAAACCGCTCTACAAACTTTGTCCAAGATGGTTGTGATGAGTGTGTGTGGGGGTGGGGGGGGGGCGCTTTTTTCGCTAACAAAAATCGCAAGTATTTGTACTGGATTGGTGAGTAGATAACTCTCTTAACACTTAGTAAAGAAACCAAGTGTATTAACGCGTAATGTACAATTTCAATAGCCAGTTTTGTTAAAAAAAAAGACGCGACTAGTTCTTTGTAAGATTCTTACGATTCTCTCAACTTCAACGTGAGAGATCAGATACTTTTGATCAGTGTTTCTTCCAGACTTTTTTCTCCGGGGGGGGCACTTGAAATCTTCGGGGGGAGGGGGGAGGCGGTAAACTTTCTTCGGGGGGGGGGGGGGGCGGACACTGTTAAAAGTATATATTTTCTATATATAAATTATATAAATTTCATTTCGTTCGGGGGGGCGTAAAAATTTTTCCGGGGGGGCTTTGCCCCCCCGAAAAGATGCCTGGAAGAAACTGTGTGCGAGAAGGCAGGGCAAATCTGCGAAATCCAAGACTACGAGCTGTTAACATCCGTTGGATTCCAGTTTGTTTTCTCTAGCTTGTTTTGTCATACCATCAACCAATCAACGAAATACCCATGTCGTATTCCAATGTGAACAATAAATATTTCTGATAACTTCTTCTTGTATGTCACTTGTGTGTCCTTACTCTAACAAACTTCGAATCCAATATGTACCATATCACAACAGAGATCGTTCAAACCTAGAACATAAAAGGCTGGTCTAAACATATTAGCGTTAGCTACAAACTACCCTCTAACACAGATCAGGCTTATTTTTTTTTACTGACATTACTAACCTTTCGCAAAAAAAGTTAAACGCATCTTAATGGGAATTAAATTGTCGTAAAGTTTTAAGGAATGAAAATCATACAATGTAATTACTAAACCTTGTCCGGACTGTAGCATACACGCTTACACACACGCTTACACACACAAATACACTCTTACCCACACACAAGCTTATATATAAACACACTATCACACACACATAATTATACACACACACACATATATATATATATATATATATATATATATATATATATATATATATATATATATATATATATATATATATATAAGCGGGGGGGGGGGCGCCAAATTGAAAGTTCGCCCCGGGCGCCGGGAAGGGTCGCTACGCCTCTGCCGTCCGGTCCACCCCGCTCGCTAAGCCTCTGCCCCCCCCCCCCCCCTGCGTACGCTACTCACTGAAGCTAGGCCTAACCGTGGGAAGTGGGATTACTCCGTATAACTTTTCTTTTTAGATCTAGGTCCTAAGTTAGATCTAGATTCTAAATCTAACACTTAAAAAAAAAACTTAACTCAATGGACTTCACAAATCCATTTTTTTAAAAATAAACTTTTGTCGTATTATTTTTTTCGTAGGATTAAGATCTAGATCTAGATCTAGATCAAGTTATGAAGATTTTAAATTACCAAGTAGAGATAACTCTATACACAAAGTGAAAAATGGCGACCATAGCAGTTAGAACACGAAAGAGTAGAAAATGTAAGTAGAAATGTAATGTAACTTTTATTTCTCATCTTTTTGGAAATTCAAACGTTTACACCTTTTAAATGTCAATATTTATTAAAATCTGCCCTAAAGTCTTGAGTCAAACGTCTCTATTAATTCGGACTAGATCTAGTTAAGTAAATGAATTGCTGAAACTTGAACTCTGACTGCCGCAGTCACTGCCTGCGTCTGGCGTCTGCATTCTTGAACTTGAGTCTTGAGCAGGTGATTGATTGATTAAAAATTATTTTAAATTAAATTAATCTACATTCATTTGGTCCGCAGTATATTTGAATGGTAAGAACTCTAGCATACAACACATTTGTTCTGTAATTTTAATTGAGTCAGAACAACACTCACTGTGACTCACCATCGCATCAATCAAGAATCAAGATCCTAGTCAAATCTATACCGCTTTGTTAGGCCCTACATTTAAAATTTTTAAATGATCTATTTTTTAATCATTAAATAATTAAAAATTTAGATAACTCAGTTTTAGAAAATATTCAAAATAAGGTTAGGCCTACACTTCTAAAATTATTTGAATGGTAACAGATGAATAAAACCCTTAATTATTAACTGTTTAAACATGTTTGTGTGTTGGACCATATCACAGCAACATGCACATCGTACAGTAGTAAAAAAAAAAGTAATATTCAGGCTATAAAATAAAAATGCAGCCTCTTGAAAATGTAAGATATTAGCAATATTATTACAAATTTGTTAAAAACAACAACCTGGGAGTAAAAACTTCTGAAATTTTAACAATCAAGAAAGTCTGACAAATTTTATTTTGTTCCATCAACCTATAGGATGGGGGAGTGGAAGTGATTCGTACATTTTAAAGAATCTTTCCTTGATCTAAATGAAAGTTGAAAACAATGTTGTTAGTCAAGAAATATGCTAATTCCAAACATAGTCACTCCTGTGATCATCACTTTTTAACACGAGTATATATTGGTGTATAAAGTTTTAAAACTCCTTATTTGATAGACACGATTTCTAGCTGTGCTTTTTATTGCTTGTAGGTGATGGAATTGCCTATAGTGAAATGTCCTTACGTCAGAATGCCTCGATCTTGGAATACTGCAGAACGTCTATATCTGCTTTGTCTGGAGCTACTGCAGGGATCATGGGATTGACCAGTCTTTGGGGATTCATCTTCTATTTTATTACAGCAGCAATGCTTTCAGTAACTAAAACTGTTACTTAAAATAGTTTTAACTAATGCATTTAAAAAAGAATTACATATTATAGTTACATTTTTAACTAATGAAGAAAAAAAATGGGTAAAATTAAATCTTAGTAGCTATAAAACTCCTGTCAGTAATGAATGTTAAATGGCTATCATAATTTACCTTGAGTATTGTGTTAATTTTTAACTTTAAAGTAATACTTTTTTGGCTTCCATCTAAGTAATCTAACACATTAAAATTTTACATTTCAGGTGTTTCTACTTTTGAAAGCTGGTTCCCAGTGGAATTCATTTTTTATGACGCGAAGAGTCCTATTCAGTAATGGCTTGTTTGGGGGTCTTTTTGTATCCTTTAACAAAACTATGGGAAATAATAATATTACATTTAATATTATACAATTTTTGGTTAATTTAAGGGAATGTTGATTGTTGACTTACTTTGTACAATTGTTTGGTAATTAATTTATTAGGCTAAAACACCTCACAATTTCTCATTTGTGGTTTGTTTAAAAGAATGTTTTGTTGTATTTGTATATATTCCTAGGTCTTCTTATTCTTCTTTTCATATGTGCATAAAATTTAATATTAAAACAAATTAAGATAACTAGATAACTTTTCCTTAAATTTAAACTTACAGACATATGTTTTATTCTGGACGTAAGTATTTCTGGAACCTTTGAATTTTTTTTGTTAATTATTCAAATGGCTTACTACTTGCTTCTATCCTTATATTATTTGTAATAAAAAATACTGCAATACAGAATATTTTTACACATATTTTTAAAAAAATATCAGGAAGTAGTTATCTTTTATTTATGCTATCATTTCTTATTATGTTATTAATTTTAAAATATTTTGTTAACTAATTATCTTCAATTACTGTATACCTTGGCATTTATTTTTCAGTTAAACTTGCTTTAATTTATTTTTCAATTTTGTTTCAGGTTTTTATATGGGATGGTTCATGTGTATTAAAGCATCACTGCAGTTGTTTTGCTTATAATTTTTGTATTTAAAAATAACTGAAGGTTTTATTGCTTTAGTTTTATTCCATTAATTTATCTGGGTTTTTTATTTGAATGAAAAGTCAGCTGTTATGTGTGTTTGTTGTGGGATAAAAAATATTGGATAAATGAGCTTAAACTTTGAATGATTGTGAGATTGTATCCCCCACAATAAGAGAAAAGTTATCAAAAATAATTTATTTATAAAGTTTAAAGCTGTTACCCTGTAGAGGTCACTGTATAATTGATACAAGCTTTTTATTTTTAAATTTAATATTGTAATACAAATCTTACGAGTTTAAGTTGTGAATAGTACCATGAGTAGAAGTATATTTGAAAAACATTTAAATCAATTGTCATGAGATCTGGGTTACTGGTCTTGAAGGATAAGACGTTTATAAATCTCCTTCAGTTTTTCCACAACTATGCTAATATTAATAACAACCTTGTGTAAATCCTTCAAAATATATATTAGTTTTCAGGTTGCTTTACTGAATGTTTTTTGTTAAAAAATATTTTCTTTCTATTCTAATGTATGAAAAACATTCTAGCTTAGGTATATGAGATTTTAGGTTAACTCAGATTTATATAAGCTCTGTTTAATCTGTAGCCATTTTAAAAATATGTAAATCTAACAATTATTGTTTTGAAATTCAATCAATAATGTATATATATCTCTGCACCTGACCTCTACAGTGTCTAACTAAACCTTCAGTGCAATAAAACATTGATATATAAATGATTCTTTGAGTTTGTTTTGATCTCTGTTTCAAACATCTATTAAAATTCAGTTAATGTTTGAGATGTTGGTGATAGTATAAATCAGTCCATTATCAACTGCCAAACTTAACAGTAACATGACTCTGACATGAAAATTGGCTGGACTATAGGCATGCATCTTTTAGGTTATGAAAAACAAAAGCATGGTTAAAAATGTCCATATTCTTTATTATGATTATTGCATTAATCAGCTTGGCAAATAAACAGCAACAACAATTGAAAATGAATGCTAGGAAAAATTATGTTCATAGGATATTTTGCATTTGTTTTACAAAAAAAAAAACATTCTGGTAGAAATTGATATGCAGGCTTCTTACATTTAAAAAAAATACAAAACATGAAAAAAATTATTCAAAGTGTTTTGATTTAGTTGTCCTCAACATCTAACTTGTCATTATGATTAATACCTCAGCATTTTGCATTGTACAATGAATTCGTCTATAATTCTTAGGCAAAAATCTTGCTGGTATACATATCTACAAAGAAATTTAAGTACATTTTAATTTACACAGCCATATCAAGTAACAATGTTGTATATTAATATACATACATATAAAAAGGTTTTAGCATCTGCTAGTACATAGTGTTCTCAATGGTACTTTACAAAATCTTTAGCATTCATAATTTAATTTTTTGTAACTATTATTTAAAAGTTTATTCCTCTTATAAGTAATATATATTCAATAAGCACAGAATTTTTATCTACACAAAATACAACAGGTAGATCTCATAAACATAATTAATGGCTTTTAAATATAAGTACAAATTGTATTATGACAAGTTGGTAGTATCAAACAGTGATGAATTGATGTGCACACAATAGCTTGCAAGTCAAAAACTATAGGAACAGGATGAAACATACTGAGAATTATACTTCTCCCCACCCTCAACACTGAGCCTATTTATATTTAAAAAATGCAACAGTTGATGAACTAACATGTTCATGTGAATTTTTGTTTTTTGAGTATTACATGCACATAAGGTTTTAGAAAAAAAAATAATTAGATACTTAACTAAGATGTCAGAGTAGGAAGCACATCAGAGGAAAGACTGTTTCAGTTAAATATATTTTGATTTAGCATGCATGTCATTGGTTTACATAATGAGGTACATATTTTTCAGGGAAGAACACTTGATTTGCCATTAAAAACATGTGTAAGCAAAGTAATATATATATATATATATATTTACATTATCTGTACAGAATCATTCATGTTTCAAAACCCTGAAGGTAAAATTGTCCTCCTCACAATCAGTGAATTATGCCATATCATGTTGAGCACTGTTATCATTTATAAAGCACACCAAGTACAGCTGCTTTTTTAATCTAACCCTCCTATTAAACAAAAAAAAAGTTATTTTAATGATACTACTTTGAAAAACATCCAAGTGAACAATGCCAATTTCATAATTTTGTTTTTAAAATGGGTAGTTAAACAAAATGCAGTTTTAATTTTAAAATTATTTCTTAGTTGTTAGCACCAATCAATGATTGCTCAAGCAAGCAGTATAAAATACTGAGGACACAAAATCTAATTTAAATGAAGACTGCCATTGGTACTTAAAATATTGTTTACAGAGCTTTGTGATCTACTAAGTTTCTTTCGCCACAAAGAAAAATACCCTGTTATACTGAAAACTACAAACATTTTGATTCCTCCATTAATTCTGAGCTCTACTTTGGGAACTAATAATACTCTTGAGTCAGGGTTATGTGTTTTGACATTTCTCAAGCTAAGATTTAACAAATCTAAGATACACTTGTAGCTAAAACAGTTGGAATGAGCTGAATTAAAAAAATTAGTAATCAGCTTTTTTTTTTCAATTAGGCCTTATGTTTCAAATGGAGAAACACTTTACCACCACTATATGCTAGCTGTCTTCAGCATGCACGCTACATTATAAAGAAGAAAAATTTGCATTATCTGTTGATCTTTAGCAAAACTTATATTTTTTGTGTTCAAAAAACAAATCCATTTTTAAATTGGGATACCTTTGAGCACATATGAAAACACATAACACAGGTAATTATAATGTTTCAACATAGAAGCACATTCTGGCACAGTTGAGTCCTGCTACCTTTTCTCCACTCACACCAATGTTTCTTGCTCAGTTTCTAAACTTTTTTTCTCCGCAGCAATTTTTTCCCAGTGTCTCCACCTTTCCTGCTCCCATTCAGACGAACCTACAGGAGGGTTATTTTCATCATCGTTTTGTAAAGATGTGTAATTTACACTTTTTGATGACGAGGATGGTATTAAAGTCGATGATGAGAGATTATATTTAAAATAAGGTTTGGGTGATGTTCCTCTTGAAGTGGGTGGGGTTGGCAAGACCCATTGACCAGTCTGGCTGTTGTCGGAGCCCCCATGGCTATTTAACGATGATGAAAGACCACTGCTAATACTAGATCCACTGTTTTCTCTATAATATACCGGTCTTGGAATGCTCAAACTTTGGTTGTAACCTTCTGAATAGGGCCGCTCCATATTAGCTACATCTAATCTGCCGCGTAAAACAACTTCTGTGTTTGTTGTATCGTGTGATACTTTTAGTATAGGAACACGAGAGCCAACCATAGGGCTGGGAAAGTTGTGACCTAGGTCAAATCGGGTTGTGCCGGGGCCAACAGGGCTGGATGGAACTAAAGTCTGATTGTCTTTCGAAGAAGGCGAGAGAGCCTGAGATTCTGATAAATGGGATGATCTTGCTTTTGAGGCTGGTTGATCCAGACTGTTGTCTGCACTCTTAGTTACTCGAAGTGGACGGTGGGATGTGGATGAAGTTTTACGGGCATATGACAAAAGGTCAGCATCACTGTTCATTGAATGATATAAGATAGGGCCATTCATTGCATCCTCAAACACACTGCACATAGATTCAGGATCTGCTTCAATTCTAAAAAATTAAAAAAGTACTTGTTAATATGATAATATAAATTAAAATAAAATAATTTAACATGGGAAACAAAACCATTAACTTAAAATATGAATTTTAAAAAGAAATATTTAAGTCATACTTACTGATTTTGATTAGCTAGGCCTTTGAGAATTCTATCAGCAGTGTCTTGATTGGATTCAATCAATAACCTTAAAATATCATCTCTCAGATTGCCAGAAATCTGTATGAGAATAAAAGACAAACATGTAAATAATACACACCACTCAATTTTTAATTATATTAATTGTCTAGAGTTTTCAAACTCCAATGTCAGATTCACCTAAAAAATTATTTCAACTTACCTCAAAACATTCATGGTTGTTGTCAATCATATATTTAACAACTTCAATAATTTCTTTACTTTGTTCAACACGCTCAGCAGACTCGGACATTAACTCCTTATCAGTTGCTGCCTTTGTTCTATGGAGAATATTAGGCCCAAATAACGTTGCCAGATTGTGAGCATCCATTTTGTTTCCAGAAATCTGAGATTTTAAAATTACAAAATTTACATTTCTAAAAGGATTTTAAAATTTTTGATAAAAATTGATTATCTTTTTAATATAGAAATGTTTAGAATACTCTGGTCGAGCCAGCATTTTCTAAAACAAAAGATATCAAAGTTTGGTTTCCATTGTCATGACTTTTGAAGTTCATTGAATGTACACATAGAAATCTTAATGGACTACATTGAACTTTAAAATTAACTTACTTCCAGCAGAAATTACTTTTACTTTTTTAAGTCAAAAATAACTATAAAAATATAAATAAAAATTTCAATGGACAGCAAGTGACTTACAACTTCTCCCTTTTCATCAGTTGTGTCAGTAGCATGTTGGCTAACTGTAGCCAAGAACCGTAATAAAGCCCACAGTGTGTCTCTGTTAGCAACAGGCAGCATTGAGATGAGAAGCTTAATGGCATTGTGCCTTTTATGTTCATCTTTTAATCCTAAAAAAAAATAATAATTCAGTTAAAAATACAGAATGTTTTAAGTGAAAAGATTATCTTTTTGTTTTTAAAATGATTCTTTAAATATAGCCATATTTCATTACAGCTCAAAAACATTAGTACATAACAAAGAAACTATTCTTTGATTTATTTATTAATGAATAACAATAGGTCAATATGGAAATAAATTTTTCAAAATTCGTCTTTAAAATATTTGTATTAACACTTTCATAATATGATCAATAAATAAATGTGATTGATTTAAAGTCTAAAGATTAAAATGTGATGTGCATAGATAATGCAGACCTATATACTTTAAAACAAAATTGTGTTAGTTTATCTTACTTTTAGCATATAAAAATGGCAAATATAATTCTCTTGTCAAAAGTGGATCAGGTAGGTCTCTAAAATATTCTTTCAGCAGAGCACCAACATCATGGGGATTGTACTCATCTGTCAGGTGCACTTCCCTGCCACTGTCAAACTCTTCTCGTAACTAGCAATACAAACATAAATTTTATAGCAAAATCATACCAACCATTTGAAAACAGTAACAAAATAAATAAATAAAAAACGTAGACTGAAATTTCACGCAACTAATTATCTATGTGATTTTTTGCTGAAGAAAACGCATCCTACCTGTTTGACCCTCTTTTTCGAGCATCCAACTCGAAAAATACCAAGTGTTTGTAAACCTTGGAAAAGAAACGAATAAATATTTAGTAAAATTTATCTAGGTAAAACACTACAAATAAAATTGGTATGTGACCACTTGTTAATTTGATGGAGTCATTCCTCTATCTATATAAATAATTCTCTTCTTGGAGACCCTAGAAAACACCAAGCTGTAAGCGCGCCTAGCAGTCCCCTCTCTTCCTCTCTAGGCATATCGCTACCACCCCCACCCCCACATGGTCTGGTGAGCTGTGGTTCACGCTAAATGTTTACAATCGTAGAGATGGGTTTAGTGACGGCTATTAGGGGCAGATAATTTAATTTGAAACGATTTTAAACTTAGGGGAGGTAACTAAGAGGAGGCTGCTTTCACGAGGGGGTGGGGTTGAGGGGGTGGGGGTGGGGTAGGTGTTGGGGGAAAGGAGGGTTTTAGTGTTTTAAAGCAAATATTTTCAGTGGCAGCATTGGTACTGTTGAATTCACAAATTATGAATTACTGAAAATTAGAAAAAACAACTAAATAGCGGCGTATAATACGCCGCGGGTCGGCTTGTTTGTCATATTTATGTAAAATGAAACAGATTCAAAATTCAAAAGCTAAACTTACCATAAGTTTCAATGTGCCTAAAACATTCTTTCACAACATAGGGGACTTGTGGCTCCCCCTGATTGGCTAGCTGAGCGCCATCAATGGCCAGACTTCCAGGCCGAGAGGCAGGGTTGGAGGTAGACAGAGACAACGCATCAATCAAACTAGAACTTGTGTTTCGACTAGACTCTGATTCTGACAAGCTATCGGAGCTGGCAGCTCTCTGTAATAGATAGAGCAGGGACTATTGAGTGCAGAAAATTTATATTATTTTTTAGAAGTTTAAACAATGAAAAAGGTGGTGGGAGTGATTACTTTAAAAATTATTTGATCGAGAAACCACATGGATGTGTTAATCTCATGTGGACCTAAAGGATGGCTACCTTAAGGGTTAGCTAGATTTAAGTCTCACCCCTTCCACTTAAAAATGAGTGGGTTTTAACCCACCACCCCCCCCCCCCCCCCCAAAAAAAAACATTAAATATATATATAGAATCTATTATATATCTATCCCGCTCCCCCCACCCTTTCACAAACACACAAAGAATAAAATTATTGTGAGTTAAATATTTAAATAGTGCTGTATGGCCTACTGAGCTGCAAGAAAGGTTTCCTGAACTATTAGAATACAGTTCTAGGATAATTAAAGCAAAAAATTGCCCATTAGTTATTTTTAATTTAAATTTTAAAGACCTTATCTCATTTTCCGTAAATATTTTTCCTGTGTTAAAGTCTACTCGCTAAAAACAAAATTATTCTAGGACTGTGTGTTTGTGAGACAAATAATTCCCAATTCATAATATTTACATTTGGGTTAACAAACCTTATGAGATGGCACAGCTAGGTCATGGTGGTGGGAAACTAAACTACTGCTGTTTTCCAAAGAACCTTGAGAAGAGCTACTCGACTTTCTTGCAGACCTAGGAAGCGCCAAGTTCTCACCGCTGTCTGTTCTCATTTTCATGGAAGAAGAGCTCCCAGTGGCAGCTGCTTTTCTTCTCCTCTTCTCCACCTCCCTGTCATTCATCAAGCACCTGTTCAAAGGAATGCCAAACACCAGACCTTGTCCGTCTGAGTGGCAGAAAAAAATAAAATATGACCTACATGTTGTGATCTCCCTTAATATAAAAAGCAATTAAATTAACCAATGGTAATGGTATTTCATGATTAAAGGCCTAAAGTAAAGTATCGAAATAATAAGTTCCCTCCCATTAAAAAACGACAACAGATATTACTTCATAAAGGGAGACAATGATGGAAGTAAATCTATTTTTACCTTTACACATGGCATCGAGTGCGGGAGCACTAACAGACTTTGAACGTCTTTTTAAAGATAGTGATGACTTTTTCGTTTTTCGTAAATCATCATTTTCTGCAAATATACATAAAGCTTACATCAATAATCAATGTGTAGGCTACATTCATTACTAAATTTGATACAGTGAATATGTTTATTTCTGTTTTAACTCAATGTTTATAGTAAGCAACGTATAGCACAAGCCATGATTGATCTACACTTTAAATGAACTTTAACCCATATTCTGCTAGCGTCCCACTTATGGGACGCTTGGTAAAAAAATTGCTAAAATTTATTAAATACTAGTTAAAACACAAATTATGTTTCATTGTATTTGAAAATGGCTAAACTATTGAATTTGTGTGTGTTTTGTGAAAAAAATTAATTTAGAAAAATGTTATAGTTCCGGATTTGCAGGACTTGTCAAAATGGCGGAAAAAAGAAAACATGCGCACAGGATAATGCATATCTTCTAAAATATTAACATTTTAAGTGCAAAATACATTTGAAACTTGTAGCAGTACCATATTTCTATCTGATAAAAATTTAAAAATAACAATTTTTTTTTACTACTTCGTTATATCAAGTGTACAACAAGCGTCCCATAAGTGGGACGCTAGCAACGAATGGCCCCTTGTAGATTGTTACACAAACGTCACATTTATTGGACACTAGCGAGAAACAAAGATGCAAATGTTTATGTTAAATGGTTATTTATGGTGAAACAATTGTTGACTTTGTTAACTGCTGAATTTGGGGTGTTAAGTAGTATGTATAGATATTTAATTATGACCTTGACCTATATTTATGCAGATTGTTACACAAACGTCACATTTATTGGACACTAGCGTGAAACACAGATGCAAATGTTTATGTTAAATGGTTATTTATGGTAAAACAATTGTTGACTTTGTTAACTGTTGACTTTGGGGTGTTAAGTAGTATTTATAGATATTTAATTATGACCTTGAGCTATATTTTCTTATATATTATTGTATTAGAAAATTGCAAATATTGAAAACATTAAATTTTATTTTTAAGTTTTCAGAATTACACTTACTGAAGTATTTAATACCATTGAATACAAACTAATTTAGTATTGCTGTAAATTTACTAGCGCGTGATATTAAAATTATAACAAACCAGAATAATAACAATGGCCACGATTTAGGTGAAATGATTCAGTCATGGGGGTTGGTTAACTCTCTTCATATAAGAGGGCTTAAGCTACATATAGCAGAAATGTGAATTAGCTGTGTACAGTTGTCATGCCCCAATAATATCCCCCTCCAAAGGTTACCGATACCAGCTTTACTTTGTTAACTTTTTAAGGAGATTCCTGGTGTTAGATTGGGAGCTGTTCGCATAGTGAGGTGCATACATGGATGAGAGCCATGAACACTCAATACAAGCCCCCAGAGACGGATCCGTGCCCTAGAAATAAGATGTCTGATGTCCTAATGTACGCCTGTGGGGGGGGGGGGGGGGATAGCGAGGGTATCAAAAGAGAAGATGGCTGGATGACATCTGGGACTGGACAGGAACATCTTTTGCAAATTCACTAAGGGCAGAGTTTCTTTCAGGCATCATTTCGGAGGAGGGGGGGGGGGGGGCTCTGCCCCCAGAAGAAAATGGAATTTATATACAAAACATACTTTTACCAATGTCCACCCTTCCCCTGAAATTTAAGTCCCCACCCCTGAAAATTTCAAGTACACCCCCCAAAAAAATCAATTATTTATATTTAATTATGTTACAGTTTCGATGAATAATAACAATATTTGTGATCATGTGTGTATAATTAGATGTACTAGTCACAGCTTTACTTATTTCCAAGTGTTGTTCACTTTGATGGATGCTAGATTGAAAGAAAACTAGACTTTTGAACATAATTTCTGCATTTTAGACCATGGTATGGCTAACCCAATTGATCATTATCAGTATTTTTAGCTGTCCTAAACAATTAAATCATTGGTCTAACAATACAAAATCAGTACACAGCTTAATTTTCGCGTGATTAGCCATATTTCGTGAAAAATGATTTTATTTTTCAATAAATGTACATGGGGCCGTTCGTTGCTAGCGTCCCATTTATGGGACGTTTTTTAAAAAATCGATATTTAAAAAAGTATTGATTTTTAAAAGAAATCCATAGTCATTCCTTCATTCAGTGCCCAAAAGCTAAACCATATCAAAAAATTATAAAAATTTGAGACCTTGGGATAATATGGGTTAAGCTGTCTCCTTAATCAAATTATCTATTTTCTCAATATAATTAATAATCATTAAACCGTAATTACAGCTATGTGTGTGTTTATTAATTAAAATCTGTATGAAACATCTCGCGCAACACCTAGCACTTTCCCGCGTCATCTCCGTTAGAGGCGCGCTTCCCTGACATCTATTTGACCCTGCAAATGACATTTGTCTCACAGCTATTGGAGTGGCGACGGTTTGCTTGTGGTCGCTTTCAATGATTACAATATCAAAACTGAGTTTCATAAAACCACAATTATACGATCTCAGAAAGTCCATTTTTTGGGAACATTATGTCAAAATCCTGCCTTTATAATTAAAAGCCTACTATTCAGACCCCCCCCCCCCCTCCCCCCTCCAAAAAAAAAAAAAAAAAAAAAAAAAACTTCATCCATCCATGAAACAACCTAGTAACTATAGATCAAGGTAGGGATAAATTTAATAGCCCATCTTTTAAAAAACCTCGCTCATTACTCAACAATCCTGACAGGAACGAACACATAGGTTGGCAGTAGAGTCAGGGACCAGCCATAAGATAACGCTATTTGGTGGTGTTTTATGTGATGTTAATGTGAGGGACGGAAGGGGCTGTAATTTATTAGAAAATAAAAATTTGGACTTAAGTATTACTGTTAAAAGGTAGGTAGCAAAAACCAGCAGGGATCTAAGAATTAAATTATTTTTTATATTTTTAAAAATAATTTCGCGTTCACCTTAGTGCTAAAGTAGGGGAAAGTATTTTTTTTTAGAATTAGGATAAGGGATTACCAGGCTTTGATTCAGGGGCGTAGCGAGGGGGACCGCACCGGATGACACCATTTAGGGGGGTGACACCAAGGCAAAAAATAGCAAAATATGAAGAGAAAAATGATGATTCCACTTAAGTGATTAATTCGAGTGTTAAATAGTCTTTTAAGAGGTGCAAATCGAAAGTTTGAGGTGGGGGTGCAAATCGAAAGTTAGAGGGGGGGGGGGGGGTGCTAATTGAAAATTGAAAGTTTATCCCCGGGAAGGGTCGCTACGCCTCTGGGGGGTACACAATTAAGAGCGGCACCAGGTGACACCCGACCTCGCTACGCCACTGCTTTGATTATCAGCTATCTGGATACTGGCATTATGAATAAATGACAATCAGGCTAAACAAAAATTACTTTTTTTGTGCTTTAATATACGTTCAAATTATGGGCTTAAGGGTTATGGTAAAATTTGAATTTTTGAATTGGTTCTAACTAATCCAAGTTTGGGAATCCTTCGTTCACATACTTCATGCACAGTCTACATACAAAAATAAAGAGGAAAAAAAAAGAAGCAATCCTTGGAAAATGCCTATCATCCACCCCCCCCCCCCACCCCCCTCTCCTCTGCATAGACAATCGTGCACTGACATCTTTTCAATAATTTTAATTTCGATGTTGCCGATAATACATTTTTGAGGTAAGTCGGGGGTAATATAGGGCAGTGGAGCAATAAGCCAAAAAAAAAAAATGGCAAAAAAAAAATGGCAAAAAAAAAAAGAAACAACAACAAACACCGTTAGAAGAACAAGGCAGATGAAACAGTAGCATTAGAAAAAATTGTTTGAAGTACGTTGAAAGATAATGCGTTTTAAGGTGGTCTTGGACGTCAGCCAGGCTAAAAGTGTTGCTCAAACCCACTCAACGTAACTGCTTAACCTGAGTGACGTCAATCAAACATGGCGGGCCAAGGGACATTACTGGCCGGCGAAAAAAAAACATCCCCGGCAGCTAATACATAAACTAAGCACGAGCACTTGAGAGCTACAGCCTTACAGAAGCTTCCTCATCATGTCAATGGAGAGTGGAGAATTGTTCTCAAAGAAATTATTACTTTGCCTCTCATTAGGTCAGACAACCCAAAATAAAAACCAAGCGCGACCTAGTTATGTCCCCTTTTGAAATTAAAATTGCACTGAAACTTAATATAGATAACAAGGCTAATGAGACCAAAAATGTTGGGAAAATTAGACCCCCCTCCCATTCGCCCCACACACTAGCACTATAAATAGTAACGAAAGGTATTTATATTCTTTGTGGGAATTCCATTCTTTCCGTAAAGATTCTAAATACATTTTTCTTCTTTGATTTTATGAGTTCGTAATAATTTAAACTATCATCAAACTGTAAAACAACTGGAGCTCAAATAACATTTAAAAAAAAAAGTAAATAAATCAAATTTTTTTAAAAGACCACTTTAAAAAAAAATCTGATACAATTAGTTCATAAAGTGCAGTTCTTTTTTGTTTGGGTTTTGTTTTAGCTTTAGATCATTTCTAAATCATCAGAATCTAAAAAGTTGAGCCCGGGAATAGGAAACGGAATTGCACTTGTCACTTCATAGAAGCCCCGAAGAGAATATAACTCGGCTATTCTTGGACGAGAACTCCGAACACGGGAGATATAGGTTAATGCGGGTTTAACCTTGATGTGCTTTTACCCTTATACATCGTGCCGGACAATTCAAATCCTTCAACATCTCGGCTGTTGTCTGAGAGTTTTGATGAGGATTGCTAGCCCGAGTTTGCCCGTGGGTATTGAAATCACTGGTACAAATGTAGATTTTATATGTTGCTTCGTGAATCAGGTTTTGTTCATGAAATGTTTTGTAGATTTCGCAACGGCTACACATCTTTGTTATGTGCAGAGGCGGATCCAGATCTTTTTATGGGGATGGGGGGTTGAGTCAATATTGACTAAAAAAGTGGCGTATTTTGGGTGAAGCTGATGGGTCAATCAGCATTGATAGGTTGTTTTCCCTAAACAAAAGTGGCCGGTCAAATCTTCAGTAGGCTGTCGTTAAAAAAAAAAAAAAAAAAACTACAGACAACTGAAAGTATAGTTGTAAAAAGTCTTGCAGTATCTTGCAGTATCTTACCCTTTGGTAGTGTGATGGGGCAGCCGATCTCCATCGCCTGCAGCTTGGAGAGCGCGATGGTCTGCAGGACTTGTCTTTCGGCCTCACACAGACTCAGGATGCTGCTCGGCCGGAGCTGCACTTTTCGGCCACTCACGCTGGACCACGTGCATGACCCCTGGAAACAAAAGGTTACTCAATAAAAAAATTATACAATGACAATTACATGTCAAAACACAAAGAGGAAAGATCTAAATTTTTGCTTTCACATGGCACATGATGCGGGTTGGGGAGGAGGGTAAGTCCGCAACTGAGTCATATATACATATACATACATATATATATACATACATATATACATACATACATACATTATATATATATATATATATATATATATATATATATATATATATATATATATATATATATATATATATATATATATATATATATATATATATATATATATATATATATATATATATATATATATATATATACATATATATATAATACAATGGTGGGCATTAAATATATTTTGTAACGTATATTACTTCCTATGTAAGTGTGTCACTTCCCTCAACCTAATCACACCCCTCCCGTCCATTTAAAACACCCCAAACGCATTACCATGAACATAGGCGAACAAGTAATTAATTCAAAGATAATCTGCTAAAGTCTTGTTGATTTACCTCCCTTTTTTATTTTTGTTCAACACAAAGAAACGAAGTGAAGGTGATCAACGAAAGCTAAAAGTGACATCAACAAATGATTGATTCGACAGGATAAAGAAGATTGGTGAAACTTGGTCATAAAAAAACACAGGAGAGGTTAAACGCCAGGGGCGGTAACTTAGCTTTAGTGTTAACTGTAAAATAGTCAGTCGTGGAGTAATGTGGAGGTGGAGAAGTAGTGGGGAGGTGGGTGGGAGGGGGGGGGGGGGTTGAAAGGTGGAGGGGGGGGGGGTTGAAAGGTGGATGGGTGGATTAGATGTGGCGGAGGTTCTAAAATGTCATGCTTTCTTGCTGATTTTTTTTTAAAATGTCATTTTTATTCTTTTATATGATTTTAAACTCTAATTTGCTGTTTGTATTAAAATCATTAAAAAGAAATCTCAGGTATGAAATAATGTTTTCCCCTTATCATTGTATATGTCTTATATATTTTGTCTTACTAATAACATATAATTCAAAATATGTCTTGTTGAGTAGGCCTATACCTATGTAGCAACTAACAGGCCTATATCACGCAGAAGTAAAACCTGCTACGCCGGTGTTACTGCAATAAATAATGTGTACCTCATGACCCCCTTGACCAAAAAAAAAATAACGACAGACCTAAAATAGCAAATCCCCATTGAGGTCACCAAACGGTTACTTGTACCTGGTCATCTAAATGAGGACAGGTCACACAATAAAAAACGGAAATAGCCTGTCAGGTAAGTGGATACATAATGTGTAAGCTTGTACGTTGACCTGAGCCCATCACGTTTCACAAGTCACATAAAAGATGTTTGAAAGTAAATTGAAGATTGTAATAATAAAGCAAATGTCCCAAGAAAACTAGCGGTTGAAATCTCACTTTAAATTACTGACTTTGTAGTCCGAATATAACGAAACAAATACAATAAATGATTTAAAATTTGTAGATGTTTATACTTTTTGAATTGTCCCACAACTGGGAAAATACAGCCATAAACCTAAGACAAGACAAATTCGGTATAACTAGAGGAATGCAGCCATAAAACAGAAACAAGAAAATTAATTGCAAGAATGCAGCCATAACCCTAATACAAGACAATTGGGTACAACAAGGTATGTACATGCATACCCCAAATACAAGAGAATGAAGCGAGTGCAATTAGAGGAGATCAGCCATAACCCTAATACAAGACAACTGGAACTAGAGAAGTACAATCATAACCCCAATATAGGACAGTCATAGACTTCTCAGCAGACGTGCTTACACAATTCCCCCCCCCCCCCCCCCCCCCCCGAACACGTTCAAAACCCTAAAATTAAAGTTTAATGAGGGCACAATAATATACCGAGCTTAAAGACACAGACATTGGCATTTGGAAACAAACTGTTCAGCTGTGTGTTCGGTGCAGAAATCAAAGTGCATCATTTCCAAGTTCAGTGCACTCTATAGCAAATGTTGTGTGCGTACGTTGCGTAGCAATTGTTAGGACATTTGTTTGTTTTTTCTGCCAAGTCTACGTATATCTACACCTGCTATAAATTGTCAAGCTTTGCATCAGTGCTATAATTTTTTATTTATTTTTTACAGAATTTGCAATACGATATTTTTTTTTTTTTGATTTTGCTATACATTTTGGGTGCAATTTATCATTGATGAGTTATACTGGCATCGTAAATTTTCTTACTTTTATCTTGCGTTTTATTGGCATTGTTATACGATAAAATATTACTTACTTAAAGCTTTCATATTAAATTAACAAACGATGGTCATAAAAATAAGTTAGAATTAGTTAACTGTGGAAGATAAAGTTTTCATGTTCAGAAATTACGTCATCAAAATATGCGCACCAAGCTACCTCAACTAAAGAAGCGCGCAAAACGTCATCTAATAAACGTATCTGGGTGAATTGACGTTGTCGTTAGCGATCAGATGCAACCAAAAAATGAATAACTCAACAGGAGTTACTGCACGTGTTTACAAGGTGGTGAGCACTATCGTGGGGGGGGGGGGGGGAGTAAACAGAAGCTGGAAAATAAACGTAGCAATGGAGGTATGGTGTGGGGTAGATTCCACGTCGCGATGGGACACAAGAGTCATATACATCAAGTAGTGGGTTAAGTAAGTTAGTCGCCACCCACTCTGGTATCCCAGGATTCTGGTGAAAGTCTTGAAACGTCATAAGTTCTTGGTTTTGTGAGAGGTGTGTGTGTGAGAGGGAAGGGGGTGGAAGAAATACTACGGACATTACACTGACGTCTTCAAAGGAAGATCTTGGTATGGTAAAATATAGTACAAGGCGTATTTAAGCACAGTGTGCATACAAACTATATTGAACACAGAAAATTGTGTTTTTTAGTAAGAACTTTGTCCAAGATTCATGAATTCGTGGTTACAGCTAATAGGTTAGAACCGTAAACCTTCAACACTCCGTGATTTTAAAAGTAGACTCAATAAATCGCCAGGATATTACAACGGCACTGAGAGCCAGAAGTAGGAAGTAAGCACCACACACAACTATCTTAAATTTACAGGAAACGTTAAGGTCAACACGACAACATTCACAGAGAAGGTGATGTTAAACCACGAATCAAACTTTGATAAAGATCCACAAATTAAATTGTTTATTATTAAAAAAAAAATAATTCTAACATACTTCTCGAAACAATTTTTTTTTGCGATTATGTTTTAACCAATCAGAATCGTCGTGCCACGTGATAAGACATCTGCCCCTGGTCGACATTGGCGGCACCTGACCTCCCAAGACACTGACTTATTTTTAGGACATCCATCCATTCTTCGGGCGGACTAAAGTACGCACCACAACAATAACGGTCAAAGAAACGAATACGTCTGCTGAAATATTATGCAAAGAAACGGTCAAAGAAACGAATACGTCTGCTGAAATATTATGCAAAGAAACGGTCAAAGAAACGAATACGTCTGCTGAAATATTATGCAAAGAAACGGTCAAAGAAACGAATACGTCTGCTGAATTATTATGCAACTAACACAACGACTTCTAAAGGAGTTTTTCTAATCATATTCCAAGTTTGAGAGTACGTCACGGTACAATGCTTATGGTGTAAATCCTAATTCTCAAACTAAAAATATAATGGGACACACAAGACGACATTTATAAGACGCTATTCTAAATTGTCTCGGAGGTTCGCGCATTTAGAACCGCCGGTGTAATCTTAGAGGGGGATCAGTTCTACTCCAAATAGTGTAAATAACCCTTTCCTTAATGACGGGCGTTTTTGGTGGAGGGTTCACTGTCTTTCATAGGGCATTGAACGAAACGGGTGTTTCTAAATTTAGCACCGGTGTTCAGTGAAACACAATTGATGTCTAGCATTAGGACATATGTGTTTATTTAAAGAGCAGCTTGATAACCTTCAGGTCTAAAGTGGTGGAACATCAGAGTTCTATTCGATTTTTGTCTACGGGGATTATTCCAAACGTCCTTGTGAATTCGTCCTTTGGTTAATTTTAGCATAGAAAAAGATTGAAAGAAGTTGGGACTCAGTTCGTTGGTAAAATAAACAAATCATTTGGACAGGAAATAGAAAAATTCGGTGGTTGCTGTAGTAAGGCAGTAACAACAGCATAGACATTTTACATTGTGAGATCAGTGTCACTAACTGACAGTCACACTGACAGAGCAGTGTCACTAACTGACAGTCACACTGACAGAGCAGTGTCACTGACAGAGGTGTTACTGACAGATGTGTCACTGACAGATGTGTCACTGGCAGGTGTCACTGACAGGTGTCACTGACAGAGGTGTCACTGACAAGGGAACCACTGACAGAGGTATCACTGACAGAGGTGTCGCTGACAGAGTTGTCACGGACAGAGGTGTCACTGACAGAACATTTACCACCACGACCTGGGTCGCCACAACGAGTGTGGTACACAAGAACCGAACTGGATACTTCCCGCGTTTGCTTTCATGTACTCTACCCCTTGACCACTGGGTCCAATTTCTCGAGCAAGGTCACCATAAACAAAAACTTGGCCCAACATTTAAAATATTTAAATAACCTTAAATCGCACACATTACGCCAAAATATATACCAGGGATTATAACCACAAAACATTTCAAAATTCGTCTTCTCGTTGAAGCGTGTATGTCACTGAAATCCTCGTCTTTTCTCGTCTACAGTGCCACCACTAATGCTCTTTCATGTAGATTTATCTGCCCTTAATTTAAACAACCAATCATAGCGTTGTACGCATGTCTAAAAATAGCCATGTCATCCTACACCTACCCCCAGCCATATGAATTCAGAGTTTGGAACAATGACCTAGATACCCAAATGACCCGCATTTAAATGACACAGGATAGACATGCCAGTGTCATGTGACAACACTTCCGCTCTCCACTGACCTGCCGTAATTAATTAGTCTGTTTAAAAGACAATATTTTTCTTTCCTGTTACGTGCTGGAATTTTAAAACGGCCACACGTAAT